CAGAGATATTTCAAAATAAGTGCCAATGTAAATTGATGGCTGCTACACTGGCGTCATACAGCCATTGTTTGTGTATAGCACAAACACAAATTCGACAAGAGTAAAATGCCCGATTTTCACTGTGAACCCGTAAAATGACATTAAGAAAAATTGTTCAGAAAAAAATTACAAACTTTGTTTTGTATATTTCAACTCGCTACGTGCCCAAATTAGCAATAATTTTAAGCTTACCGGTAATTTCCTTACGGAGATCCTCTTTAGAGATGTCTGCCATTTTCACGCACAGAAAAAGATGACTACACGACAAATAAAGACGCAAACAAGATACCGAACGAGTACAAAACAAAATGCACGAAGGCCGCTTCGGTCATTCTCGGCCAACAATTTTCACTTTCCAATCATTTAAATAGAGAATTTTCGTACAATTAATGCGATTAACATTTAAATTAAGAAAATTAAATTTATTTCTTTCACGAAGGATTCAAATCCGATTTTCTTAATAAAATTCCATCATAACAGTTGGAAGTGTCTCTTGTATGTAAAGCTCGGTTGATGTGTAGGTTGAGTTGCCTATGCTCCGGCGTTGACGCAAACTTTTTCCCTAATTTTCCAAAAGGTTCTTGCATTACCTGAAAATTATAAATACATCATTAAAAATTCCTTTATGTTCAAAGATTTCTCTTTACTTAATTTCTTCAACCATTTTTTGATTTTCTTGTATCCTTTCTTGTACCTTCTCTGTGAAATAAAGATGCAAAGCATACCCCCTGCACATTTTATGGGCGAATGAGATAACACCTCGTAACTCGTTCACCCTCATTTTGTTCACAGTCGAAGAAATATTAATTAAGTATAGTAAGTTTGCGTAGTACGTTCGTGAAGCTAAAAAAGAATTTTTATACTCTCAAAAATATCTATGTATTCTCTACTAATTTTCTGTTTCGTAAGATTTCTTGTTTTTATCAACTAATTTTACATATATTCATAGAATTCCTTTAATTTAGTTTTATTTTCGCATAGTCATTCCCCACCTATTTTACCTCAATTGCAATTGGTTAAAATTCCCAAATTTATGCTTCTCAGATCCAGAGTATCTCCATTTCGTTGTTTTCTTTCTTTTCCTGAAGGTTTTTATACGAAGTGTGTGGTCTTCTAAAAAATGTTGTTTCATTTGCCATCGTTATTTCTCTAGAACCTTTTTCCTCAGATTTTCCGCTACCTACTTCTTTATAAAATTTGCTATAAACCTCCTAATTTTCTCAAAATTTTCATTTATTCGTACAAATTTTCTGACATTGTCCCAGAATATTTTCTAATCTTATATTTCTATACATTTCCCAGATATTCCGAGGCAAAAGAAGTAGAAGAAGAATCAGTAATTAATAAATATAAGGTAAATTTGATTTTTGAAGGGTACGGACGTATTCGGACTTTTAATTATTTTCTGTATGTTTGTGAAAAATCGATTTTTAGTAGAAACCGTAAGAAAAACAAGAGTACATTTTACAGGATGGACTTTCTTTGTGCATAAAAATTGCTTTTTAATAATTAAAAATAAAAAAGTTGATCATTATTTTTCTATTTCTACTGTTAAATTTTTGGTTTTTATTAGTACCTACTTCAAATGTTCTTTCCAGAGTAGCTCCAATGTTTCTGCAATAGTTCTAACGTATCCTAACCTATTCGCGGGAGTTATCCTGTTTTGTTGGTTATGGTATATCATTCTTTGCGGAAGAATATAAGAAAAACACCTATTTTTAATTCTGTTTTAGTTCGAGCATGTCCAGTCCAGAAACGGTAGATGACGAAGAAGAGGAAGCAGAAGACCCAATTGATTTGGAGTATGAAACCGAACTCAGTTTATTTATTAGTGAACAGGAGCTTTTGATCAATCACAATGTTAATCGAGAAAGTATCAAACAGGAGGGAGTTAGCAGAAAGGATAGTCAAGGTAATGCAGTCTCAATTGGAGATTGCATCTCATTTATGAGGTACTTTTCCAAATTTGTAGACGTACGTATCCAGTTAAAGAGATGACTGTGTTACTCATTTTTAGAAATAGTACGAACACCATTTGAGAACAAGATTTGCAACTCCCAACGAAAGCAATATTCTGTATATTATATACCAGTACGTTCGACAGTAGCTGAATTTAACTGTTCTTATTGTGATTACATAACTAAGTGGAAGAACAATTTAACTGCCCATATGAGTGGCCGTCATCGTGCAACGACATTTAAATATCCACATTGCGAGTACGTAAGAAAGTGGATGCGTTCTTTACCGGTGTTTAAATGTAATTGTTGTACTTATGCGACCAAATGGAAGTATAATCTCACTGCACACGTTAGTGGTCGTCATGGCTCAACGTTTTTGCTTTTACATCACAAGGGCCAAGTGGATCAAGGTCCAGTGAAACCAGAAACCACTCCAATTTCAAAGAAAAAAACTGAAAGTTCTTTTGATATACATAATCATCGATCAGAGAAAGTAGAAGATAGTCTCGCAAAAACCATATTTTGGCGCCATTACGTCGATCTTCTCCTAAATGCTACCCCGGCTACGGATTTCGATAGGTCAAACCGATGGAAAAATAAATTTGTGCCAAATATTGTCGCCAAATGTGAACAGTGTGATTTTGTTTCGAAATCGAAACAGTCCCTAGCTCTGCATGTTTGTCGGTTCCAGCCCTACTTGGTTGATCGCATGAAAATCTGCTATAATTCGGATGGCTTTAAGTGCATTCATTGCGATTATTCAACCAAATTTAATAAGAGGTTGTCTCTGCACATGCAGAGTTGCCATTTGGAACTTTAGTTATGACGTGAGGTCGAGAATTTTTTACTGTTGAATGGTCTGTGCCTATCTCAAAGAAACATGCCGTGTAAACTTCAAGTTATAGAATGTAAATATGTACATTGTATTTTTTTAAGTTTAAGAATAAAATGATGATTTCCTTGTATGTTCTATTGCTCCAAAGCTCAAATGCTTTAAATTAATTTAACAAAAATGAGTATTAAGTATCGTTAATTTCCCCATCATGCTTTAGGTCCACGATGGCAGACAAGTAATGGTCCTTATTGTATACCTGACACTTTTCATGTTTTTCTGGTAATGGCAAGGAAAAGCTCAGGGAGATCAGTACTACCAAAGGCACTGCAAGCTTCCCAGAACCGGGACGGAAAGAGTACAAAAGGAACAGGGCCTAGAAAACCTTGAAAAAGATCTGAACCTTTCTGGAAAAGGCATTTGGAAATAAACACTTAAGAATCTGGAAGGTGTTTAAAACACTTTCCATAGACTTCATTTTTAAGGGTCTTTTCTTGGGTTTCTAGGACCGAGACAAATCTATTATAAGTGAAAGAACCTAGAAGGCTTTGGAGAGCTTTCGATTGTTCCGAAAAATGGAAGGCTTTCAGAACCTTCTGCGGACTTTTCAAAGCATTGATTCTTTTCAGAGAAAAGAGCCTTTTGTAAGTTGTATAGAAAGTTCTAAACTACCCTGAAAGTGCAAGATTCTGATTACTTTTGAATTGAATACTGTATGAAACTATTAGAATGCTTTCCGTGCACTGTATCAGTGCGAGATAAACAGCCCCAAGCCAAAATACCATTAAACTTTCAAAGCGGTAGTATAAATATATTTATAAACAAAATTATGTCTCTGTTCAAGTAAATTAAATCACAATTTGAGTCATTCCCGAAAGACGTCTGCATGTTTGGAATTAACATGCACAGTAAGGCTCTGCTTCCACTTTGTTTCATGATCACAATGTGCACATTTAAATTTGTTAAGCCCGTGGCGGCCGCTCACGTGTATAGCCAAACACGGTTTCCACTTTGTGCTGTAATCGCAATGCGGACATTTAAACTTGGCGGATCCGTGTTGGCTTTTGATGTGGTATTTTAAGGAATGCCTCCAGGTTGTCGTGTAATCGCACTTTGCACATTTCAATTCTTCGACACCGTGACGACCGTTTACGTGTATCATTAAACACGGTCTCCAATTCGTTGTATAGTCGCATTGGGAACATTTGAATTTCTTGGAACCGTGGCGACTTTTAATGTGATAAGTTAATGAGGTCTTCCACTTTGTTGTGTAATTGCAGAGTGAACAGTTTAATCGACCGGAATCGTGGCGGGCACTTAAATGTTGCTTTAAACACCGTTTTGATTTTGTGCAGTAGTCACAGTATGCACAATTGTATTCTGTTGGGGTACGATGGCCAATCACGTGCTTGATTAGAGACAGTTTTGACCGTGCCTTATAATTACAATCTTCACATTTAAATTCATTCGAACGATGCCTAGAGTTCACGTGTACAGTTAAAGTGTGCTTCCGCTTTGTTTTATAATCACACTGTCCACATTGAAAAACAAAATCCGAGCGGTGATGTACGTTTAGATGAAACATTAAGTCGTGTTCCTTCGTTGTGATGTACTCACAGTGTGCACACGAAAACCCTTCAATCTCGCTCATTATTGGCACTTGTTGTTCAGTTCCGTCATCGATTTCAAGCTCCTCTTTCGGCAGTATGAAGTGCATCATTTCCTCCTGGTTGTTAAAAGTCATGTACACCTCATCATCACTAAATGTTGAATCTTCATCCTCCAGTGATTCTTGTTTAATGTACTTGCTAGCCATAATTTCTGTTAGAATGCCAAATAGCAGAAAAAACTTGGGAGTGCAAAAGGACTTGAATTTCCAAAAAAATCCTCCAAATGAGAATAGTTATTTTGTACAACGTAGACTTTGATGCAATGCAACTAATCGTGAGACGTTGGAACTACTACTTTGTCATTGAACTATACAAACAGGATGACGTAACATTTTTGTTTAAAGTGACATCTGTTATAATGGTTACACCTCCGACACTTTTAGTTCCTATAATTGACACTCCTCAAATATCAATCGAAAAGCATATTTGTGCATTGTGAAGGCATTGAAATTTTTAAATTTAATTTAATTTTAGTGCCAATGCGTAGACATTAAAAATAAATTAAATGCAGAATCGAAAATCGTTTTAATATCACAAATAAGTTGAATATTTACACTTAAACTAACCAACAACAATTCCCTACCCTTTACTCGTGAAATAATTTTTTTGGCTGCTGATTGGATGCGTCTCCATTTTCCTAAAACAAAATTTGAACCTGACCTGAAACCGCTCGACGGATTTGTACCTGTTTCAATTGATGAAATCGGCGCAACACCATTTCCTTCGGAGTTAACTCCTTCAACTGGTAGGAGAGCTCCGATTGGTTACGCAGGGGAGTGTGCCCGCTTGGTTGCAACTCGACCGCATACTTCGAAGTGTCCGATACTAAGATCTTGATCTCGTTCGCTTCGCTCGTAAGTCGATTGAGCAAAGCTAATGATCCCTGATAATTGTCGTCGATGAGCGTACATACCTCCCTGTTCTCCCGTTCTGAGTTCCCGGGGCAAAATTCGGTTGTCTCTTTGGCGAGAGTTGCGACATTCTCCTGTAAATTAAGGCGTTATCCTAAGACAAAAGGGACACTTGCTTACGCTTAGCGAATTTCGAACTTTGTGCAAATCCGAAACGGTTGCAGCAACAAAATCCTGATCCGTAGCCTCGTCGGCAATTTGTGACAATTTCTCTTTCTCGGACCCCCACAGTGCGTCCGTAGACGATTTGTAGGAGTCGAGTACCTGGCTTGAATCGTGCGTGGTCTTATCGATAAACTCGGTCACCTCGTTCGACGTGGTGTCCAAAACGCGGTCGCATCCTTTCTCAAACTCGGCGACGACGTTTGGTAGTTTCCCATCAACTGTTTTTCGAAGGTTTTCGATCAGTTGTAAGGCGCGTAAATCGCCGTCGGACTCTTTGCGGAGCTCCCCTTTGAGAGCGTCAAACTTCGCGTTTACCGCCGCGAACATTTCATCGCGAATTTTCGCGAGCGAAGCTAACTTCTTCTCACCGGCCTCTCTTTGTCTCGAGAGGCTCCCGCCCAATTGGTCGATGTTCTCGAAAATTTCGGCGCAAAGGATTTTGATGTCAGCGGAGGTCGAGTCGAAGGGTAATTGGGAGAAGGCTTTCGAAACGCGCAAGCCCAAGCTCTCAACGTTGGCAACTTTGTTTTCCAGGTGAGGTCTCAGTGTGTTCTCCATGATCGTCTTAAAGTTGGAAAGGTTGGAGATTTGCCAGTCGTCGAGTTTGCGCTTGAGATCGGTCAGTCGGCGGCCTTGCGCCTGCTGGCAATTTTTCAAGGACGCACCCGCCTGCTGGTATGGTACGTTGTCTGCGTTCTGCACGTTGTCCTGGACGGTTAGAATTTGGCGCAGAAGGTCGTTGACAAGCTCCGATTGCTGGTTATGATAACTCCTGGTGACATTTGCCAACTTCTCATTGAAAGACATTGAACCCTTAGCGTATTCACCGTACTCCCTCACTATGTCCTGGCACATCGCCCGAACTTTGACGCTTACCATTTTCCTGGTGTTGTTATTGTCGTTGGTGACCTTGTAGAGATACTCGATCTTCTCGCGCAACGTCGACTCATTGAGCGAACCCGATTTGACCCTCTCGTGTAGGCTTTTCGCACTTTTGTACAGATTTTCCGCAGACCTCTCATAGGACGATGCGAGGTACTCGTTTTCCTGTTTCTCGGACGCGATCCGCGCGTACTCCACCTTCATCTTGGCAAGCTCGCTCTGCGTCGCACCGTACGATTTGATCAACGCGTCCTGCTCGACCCGAAAGTTCTCCTTCTCCTCCTCCAGCAGCCTCAGTTTCTCGCCGAACGCGTTAATCGACGCGACCGCCTGCGATAACTGCTCGTCGGTCGCCTGGCGCGTCGCCACCAGCTGATCGTAATTCTCGGGGTTGATCACGACGCCGCCGCGTCCCTGCGCGGCGTCTAGGTCTCTTCGAAGCGAAGAGATTTCGTCCGCGTATTCGTTCATTAGCGACTTTTGGGATGTTCGACGATTAATGATCGGTTTGTTTGTGATCGTTCGAGCTTTAGAGACGTAGTCGAGGGTGTTCAGCGATTCGTCTAAGCTCGACACCGAAAAGGAAATCGTCGCGATGAATATTGTCTTCGCCTTTCCTCCCAGACTGTCTCGTAGGATTCTTGTCAACTTTGAGTCTCTAAAGGAAATAAACGCAGTATGAATTTTCCGAAACACCCTGTACGTATTGTGGGGAAATAAAATAATTAGCGCATTTTTTACGAATTAAAAAAATGTGCTTATTGCTTGCGTTTCATTGGGCCGTCTGTCTGTCTGTCAGGGCCCACTTGTGCGGTTTTGAACTACTTTTAGGCGGATCCTTATAGAGTCCTAGAATTTTTTGCAATTAAATTTAGTTGTCTTAAGAGCCCCCCCCCCCTTCCATGAATTATTTTCTAATGGGCATGCGACAATTACTTGATCTCAGATGCCAAGTAAAACTTTTGAAAATTGAAGGGGGGGGGGGACACATTCTACCTGTCATGCTATTCCAATAAATGGCCTCGAGAAAATGCACTGTTCTCTATCGTCTACCGTCCATTTTTCTGACGGGACTGGTTTTATCCGTCATGGTACTTTAATGAAAGGTCTCAATTAAGGGAATGAATTTCTACCAACCACAGCCCATTTCCTCAACCCTTTATCAAGTGGGCAAGTGGAACGTCTCGACGAGACACATCTACTGGTAAAGTCAAACTTTCAATACAGAAGTCTGCGGAAAGGAGTGGAGAAGAGAAGGAGGGTATTCTCAAAGGGCGCAAAGATGGTCTATACCAGGGGTCGGCAACCTATTGAAACGGAAGAGCCAAAAATTACAATTTGCAAAATTTAAAGAGCCACAAAAAATTTTTGATTCAATATTATAGTATTTGGCTATATACAGGGTAAAAAATATTGGTGATTGCGGATCTACAGAAATTATTTATGAATATACAGGGTGTCCCATTTTTACGATGTCAATAAATAACTGATCTTTTTAAATAGAACATATTTTTACTGCCACTTTCAATGCCATTTGTTCAAAGTGCTATAACTATTCTTTTTCAAATGGAAATACTACTATTTTATTTCGCTATTCGATTGTCTTTTATGTTCTCTTCATCTTATAAGGGGTGCCCTGTGCTTAAACCCCGCAGTTTTTGTTATTCAATATTTTTCACAAAAGTACCTACTCATTAATTACGTGTTTATACATCGGAGTAGGCTGCTATAATAAAAAAACAAAAGAATGTCAGAAAATAAACAAGTGCCACAAATGAGAAAATTATTTGCTGAAACTGAAAAAATTCCAACTACTTTCGGAGATTGTCCGAAAAAAAAACCCAAAATTTTGCAAAATGGTTTTTATTTTTTACTGAAGTTATTATTTAAAAAAATATGTCTAAATAGAATGATACATTATTATGGCCACTTTTGTCCCTCCCCATTAATCATCTAGCAAGGAAGTAAATGTGCGATCGCTTTGAAAATTGGTACACATGGTTTTAAGGATATAAGAAAGGTCCCTATTGTTTTTAAGTTAAGTAGACTATCGAGTTCGGTATTCAGATGTATCGGATTTTTATATTTGATTTTGTGACAATGGAAACTTTCCCTAAACATTTTTAAATTGTTCTCAAATATTTGAATAACTTAAAAGTACTGCCTTTTTTGAGGCCGGAAAAAAAATTGTCTGAGATCGAGATCGATCGAGAGTCCATAATTTCAAACAGTTTGAAGATTGGGCTACTAGATCAAAAGTTACAGCCCTTTGAATTTTTTTTCGAAATTGGTTTCTAGTCTATAACTTTTGATTGAGAAGTCTGATCGAAAAAGTACGAATTGATTTGGATTCTACGCAACCAAATAAATAAGAAAAAGTGTTTTCCCGAGAAATTTTGGTGTAGTCGATTTTTGGTAAAAAAGGAAGGTTATACACTGCCTTTTTTGAGGCCCGCAAAAAAATTGTCTCAGATCGACCCGGAAAAAAATGTTCTTATAGAATGTGGCCTGTAGAATCCATAATTTCAAACAGTTCCAAGATTGGGCTACTAGTTCCAAAGTTACAGCCCTTTGAATTTTTTTTCGAAATTTGTTTTTTGTCCATAACTTTTTATTGAGAGGTCTAATCGAAAACGTACGAATTGTTTTGGATTCTACGCACCAAAATTAATAAGAAAAAGTGTTAAGTATTCAAATACTAAATATTTGTGAAAGTATTTGAGTTACAAATACAAATACTGCTTCCATAAAATATATGAATACTTCAAAGGATTTGAATACTAAAAAGTATTAACAAAATCGAATACTGCCCAGCTCTGAGCATGCTCTACCTTATAACCCAATACTAAGCTATTTCGGTTTAAAAAAATGTGCATTATGTTATGAATCTTTCAGAGCTTTTAAGGATCTGCAAAAGTCTCTGTCTCCAATAGCCTGCTAGATTAAATTACAGCTTCTAAAGCTCTAAATTGTTTAAGAGCTCAGCCCTAAGGAGCTTTTCTAAACATACCTACCATTGGGAAAATGGTATTTCTCCACAACAAGTAATAATTACCTAAATGGAACAAACGAATTTTTCTCAGAAAGCACCTTGATCACCTGCCCAAGCGTGACCAGGGACTGATATATATTCGCATCTTTGGCACGTCGTTCCACCGCACCGGTCCTAATATTATCGCTACCGGCCAGATCAACAAAATTAAGCCTCCCAATTTTCGACAACATCTCACCGACCGGACTGGTTTCTCGTCGATCAACTATAATACTGAATATCGTATGCGAACATGCTCGATCAACTCTCATCTGTTTACGTTGCGCCTTCTTCAGTAACTGAAACACGTCAACCTCACTATAGACGGTTACGCTCTCAAGTCCTTGTATGACCACGTCGCCTTTGCCCCGTTGACCGTCGTAAATCCTGTTTACAAACTCATTTACTTGCCCGATAATTATAGTGTTACGCACCTCAAATTGGTTGAATCATCGACTGGCGATAACAAGTCGTGCAACTCCTCATTGTAAATCTCCAAGTAAGAACAACGCACGGTACATGGGTCCGATAGCAGACGTACGACCTCAAACAACTCGACAACTGCTCGCGGAATCAAACCGGCCTCCTACGGTAAAACTGACAAGCACAATAAACCCCAAGTTTCACCTACCAAATCAAGACTGGACGATACCACACAATTATCACTGTCCGACTGTAGCGAGACGTTACTGAGCGAGTTCGTCGACCCAAACGAGGTCAGACCGACGATATTTCCGAGCAGAGTGTACGTTTTACCTGTGCCGCTTTGGCCGTATCCGAAAATCGTGCAATTATAACCGGACAGAACGTCTTGGATTAGAGGTTTTATGACAATTTTGTATATGGTAGGTTGTGCGGTGTCCTCGCGGAATAGGCCGTCGAACGTGTATTTCTTCTGGTACGTGCGATTGGCTTGTATTTCCTTTGTGTTGAGTACTTCCAGGCAGTTTGTACGTTTCTCGTTGTCTTGTAATGGCCTGAGCATGAAATTAGAGGTGGTTTTTAACGTACGGCTCTTACCTCACTCTCAAAAATACACGAATCGGTTGTGGATTTCCATCCTCACTTTTTGGAGTAGACATTATTTTCAAAAATAATTCAAACCGAAAGGAGTGAAAACTGAAAAGTAAAACACATACAAAATGACCGTTGCAGTTTTGAAAGTTTAAAACTCCTCCCACTTGATTGTAGAAATGGATGCATTCATGCAAATTTAAAAATCTTGTTCGAAAATTCATTCGGTTTCTAGGAATTAATTACAACAATTGGTGCAATAATTGTTACTACAGCAATTATCTACTATCCCATTATCCCCCAAATTTTTGAATTTACAAAGATGGGGATGATTCCTGTCTACAACATAGTAGTTCTAATGCATCAAAATAGTTCCATTGAATATTGATCAACATAACCTAACAAGTATTTTCCATTGTTTTTAAAATTAACTATTTAATAAATTATTTCTTTAACTTCAATGAATTTCTCTTGCCTGGTTTAGGTTTACATCACAGACCATCAAAGGGTTTACATCGGGTTACGTCGAACACCAAGTTGGTGGTACAATACCATTGGTATCAGTTCGTATTCCGGTCCACATTTAGTAAGTCGGGTGTCTTTGGATTCAATCTCAATCTTCAATACAGCAATGTGTAACCTGTAAAAAACTTGTTTAACTTGGTTTATTAGATCACATACTCTTATACAATGCGATCAAAAATGATTGGCTCTCTAGTCGCCTTTGGAATTTTTGTTTACATGGGAAATCGTATCTAACTTGAACTTCCAATGGCGACTCGACAGCCAATCATTTTTGATCGCCCGATAGAACGTTCATTGTTAATGATTCAAACTATAGACTTGGTATAGATATTCAGTTTTTACCAGGTACATTCTGGCCAGATTGCTTTTTTTAAAATTAAGAAGGCCATCAGATAGCTGAAAACTATTTTAACAAACCATTGAGGATCGATCGCAGGGCATTCATCCTATCAGCTCATTAGTTTATATGTCGCCTTTGTCTTCTCAACAGCTTGTACTTATGACTCCCTTCCTTCTCCTTCGTGCCTATAACAGTTCTTATGTAGTTCTAGTTGTTTACTGCATTCCACATCATACTTTTTAGCATCAGCGACGCAGTGGTGTTCGGGTTGAACCATTCACCGATAGGTACTTGGTTTAAAATCCATGGCAACTATTGTCCCAGTGATCTTTGCTATGGATTTTAAACTACGAATAAGCTACTTAAATTTGTCGTGCAAACGGCATTTTTCGTAAGTTAAATGTAAACCAAAACCAGAAATGATAACTGGTTATATCTGTCGCAAATTACATATAAATCTACACACTGGCTAAATGTAACAAAATAAATCTAAATTAGATAGCTCCAGTACATTTCTTTCAAAATTTGAAATTCTGCTGATATAATAATATTGAATATAGTTTAATAAAGTCACTAGATATATATATTTATATATATATATTTAGTGACTTTATAGTTTAAAAAATAAGTGCGCCATCTCATTGGTAATCGATACACTATCCTTCATTTTATAGTTTTACAAGTTTAGTTGAGATGTCGCCACGTAATTAATTTCGTTTGAAATTGCATTTGAATTTATGCCATTAATAGCCAAGTCGGACTTAATTTTACTTAAATGGCAGTACAAAATGTACGGAGTCTTTTGGTGTAGTCGATTTTTGGTAAAAAAGGAAGGTAAACCAGTGCCTTTTTTTGAGCCCCGAAGAAAAAATTGTCTCAGATCGACCCGGAAAAAAAATTTTCTTATAGAATGTGGCCTGTAGAATCCATAATTTCAAACAGTTCCAAGATTGGGCTACTAGGTCAAAAGTTACAGCCCTTTGAATTTTCTTTCGAAATTGGTTTCTAGTCTATAACTTTTGATTGAAAAGTCTGATCGAAAAAGTACGAATTGATTTGGATTCTACGCACCCAAATTAATAAGAAAAAGTGTTTTCCCGAGAAATTTTGGTGCAGTCGATTTTTGGTAAAAAAGGAAGGTAAAACACTGCCTTTTTTTGAGCCCGAAGAAAAAATTGTCTCAGATCGACCCGGAAAAAAATTTTCTTATAGAATGTGGCCTGTAGAATCCATAATTTCAAACAGTTCCAAGATTGGGCTACTAGTTCAAAAGTTACAGCCCTTTGAATTTTTTTCTAGTCTATAACTTTTAGATTGAGAAGTCTGAATAAATGGCAGTTCAAAATGTACGGAGTCTTGCAAGATCTGTAGAGAAATTGTAGTTTCAAGGCCCGGTTTTTGAATAGATAGATTAAATTACAGTGACTTTATAGAGACAGTGGCGACAATAGGAGTTCGGCCGCCATTTTGCGTCAAAAAGTTGGCAACACACAATACACGTAGGCACGTGTGGCGTACACCGCAATATCATATTAGCGAGCAGTCAAATTACCGGCAATGCGGGCGGCGGTTGCGTGACACATATTGCAAACGACTATTTTCTAAACGTTTTATTAGTACAATTAGCGATCTAAAAACTGTAAATATGAATATGGTTGTCTCTAGTTTAGTCTCCGCCTGAGTGGATGGTCCAGATTCCATCAACTACTTTCTGAAAACCATCCTTTCAATTGAACGTGTTACTCTGCCTCGTCAACATAATCTCTTCGCTGAATCCGACTCATAGAAATTGCTCGATGGGTTATTGCACTGCGAGTCGAATATGGTATCGCGTTTCACAACAATATCCTCAATTGCTGTCACATAGTCACACATATTAGGTTCCGCCACATTCGTTTTCAGCTATTTTTTGATGCCTTTGTCCTCCAATGCTAATTGCACGCGGAAATACAATTAGGTACTGAATTCACGGCCATTGAAACACAAATTTTTCATCGTCTGCCTCTGGCATTTGACTGCAGAAGTCGCTAATGTCAGGCTGTCATTAAAGTCACTAAATATATCTAGTGACTTTAGCTGTCATCTGTCATGATACTATTTTTTGTAGGAATATCATGGCACCTGTACTTCAAATGTGTCAACCAGTGACGTTTATAGAAGCGCGGGAATGCGCGTGAGCATATCTATTACCGGAAACACGTGAAAATTGACGCAAAATGGCGACCGATCTCAACAACCAATCAAAAATTAGACACTCTATTGTCGCCACTGTCTCTATAAAGTCACTGTATTTTGCTTGGATTATTTTAATATTACCAAAAACTCAGGCAAGGCTATTTAACATTTTGAGATTTGTGCCTTTCAGTGTCAAAGAAGTAAACCACGAAACTCGAAAATTAAACTTTTCGCTCCTGTATTATAGCCTATTCCTTTTCGTCAGCGTTTTTGGATTGCCATAGGACAGAGCGAGTGAACGAAAGGCCGTCCGTACAGATTTTTTGGACGATTTTAATAAAGTATCTGTTCGCAATATGCGAGTTAAATTGCCATAAGAGTACGCCGCAATAAATAAGAATTTTATATGGGTGTTCATTTTAAGGACTTTTGAGAGCTAAGTTTCATGTGCATTAGGTTAGATACAAGATTTGTAAAAATTTAAAACGCCCAAACTAATCTGTATTAGTAAATATAAAAACGTGTCTAAAAAAGATTTTTTCTTTAATTCAAATCCTAATCACCAACACGTTTAAAAAGGAACGATGAAACAATACATCAATCAAAAGTTATAGACTAGAAACCAATTTCGAAAGAAAATTCAAAGGGCTGTAACTTTTGAACTAGTAGCCCAATGTACAGGACAACCAATGTGTAGTGCGTGCGGCGTATGCGAAACTGTTCGACACATAGTAATAACCTGTCCAAAATATGTACTATAAAGAAATACTTGTGCTATAAATGACTTAACAGTACTAACAAAAAACAACAGTCTACTAGATGTAACAAATTATTTAAGAATTATTGAATTGTTTGAAAATATTTAACCTAACATTGGTCACCAATGGTCTTAGAAACCGACACGACTTTAAACTTAAAAATAAAAAAAAAAGAAACAAAATGTACATCAAAAACACAAATTAATTCTAATAAAATAATACAGTAGTTTATGCACCCCTTGATACGTTCTTGAAATTGCTTTTGTGCATTTTAAAATCAAAAATTCTGCTGAACAAGAATGAGGTCAGTTGTCTTCTAGATGTGCATTTGTTGATTGTTAGTCCTCTCTATGCCCTCTCGCAATGGGGAAGCATGGGTACTATTCGAGTCATTCCCAAAAAAACAGTTATAATTTTTTTAACTAAAAAAAGTTGAGCTGGAAGGTTTATTGTTGTATTGTAAAAATACACAAAACTTTTGCCAGTGCCAGAAGGTCCTTGGTTCGCATCCAGATCCTGGCTTCCAGTTTTTCAAGTTCTTAAGAATTGAAGGAATTTAGATGATGATGTGTAAATTTTGTGTTGGTAACACTTCATGATCACCGGTTGTTATTTTCGCTATAAAAGATCAATGGCTATAAAAGATCAATGGCCATAAAAGTTCCAAAGTTTCTAGATGTCCCTTTTATACTTGATTTTTTTTAAGTAGTCCTATAAGAAGAGGTAATCTTTTAATCCGCCATTGATTCACTCTGTACAATAATAATTTAAATATTCAACCTAACATTATCTAAAAATCTTTCTACAACCACCCACTTTCACCACGTTTCAGTTTGATATCTTCCCGTCTTTTCCATATTTTCTATAAACGCATCCGCGTTCGCCATTCCCCCATTCATCTTGCAAACGCTCACGAAAGCTTCGCGCACCTGCCTTGGCATATTTTTAGCATTTCCCGCCACGAAAACATAGACATTTCGAGTTCTAAGCAACTCCCATAACAGATCTCCATTCTCTTCAATTTTATGCTGTACGTATCTGCGGAAAAAACTTAAGCAACGCTCGTGAACTTTTCGTATCCCTTACACTTTGTGTTCGGTTTCTCGCGAGAATGCGCATATCAGCGTTAGTTTTTTCTCTCTCTGTAACCTTTCGAAGTCGCGCCTGCAGTGGAAATCGCTCTGACCTCGACAGCCGAAGAAAAAATAGATTTTATCGGCACTGGTGCCGCCTTCCAGCTCCCACTCGCAGATGAAGCTACGAAAGGGCGCCATTCCGGTTCCGGGGCCGACCATGATCACTGTGGCCTCCTAAAATAAATCATAAGAATCAAAGTAATTAGAAACCGCGTTTTTTTGTTTTATACATTCATTTTGTTTGATGTTTGAAGGGAGGGATTGAAATTAAGTAAGTAAAAAGAATTTCGCCCTTAGGTGAGTAACTTCTGCGCAATTTCCATGCATTAACGCGCTAAATTTTTCTTTACTAGAGACATCTACTGTTAAAATTTCAAAGAAAAGAAATTTGATAATATTTTCTGAACACTCTGTACAAATTTTTTGGATAGTTTTTAAATATTAGATAAGGCCTATGCTTTATTTAAATGAATCCTGAAAATAATGGGTCTATCCCATTTGCCCTATAAAAAACAATACTTTTTCCAAACAAAACTGCACGTAAATTTAAAAAAACCAATAATTTCTGCATCTTTTCATCCTTACCGGATCAACAGGAAACTTAAAGCTTCCCTTCTTTATCCACACGCTAATGTGGTCGCCCACCCGCAAATTTGCCAGGTAGTTGGAACATAGACCCATTCGCTCCTTGACTAGTTTCGTTTTATATTGCACGACGGCCAGCAATATATGAATCTCGTCTTTGTGCGCCTTAAAACTGCTCGCTATCGAAAACTCACGAGGTTTTATGGGCGGGAACATCTCCAGAAGAACGTCGTCGGTGATATTCTTCAGAGCGTGCGGGAAATCTTGTAAAACCTCGACAATATTTCGCCTGGGCCTGTTGCAATAATTGTAAAGATCGTCTTGTCCTTCCGCGCTGATAAACTCCTCTAGCTTTTCCTTTTCGAGGTCATTATCGGTTAAGCCGAGCAGGATATTGAAAAAATTACGCCTAGGCACGGCGTTTAGGTCAAAGTACTGCTCGCACAACTGCTGAAAGGTGACCTGCTGTCGTAGAGGTGCTGGAACCGGAACATCGGCGGCTAAATTATCAACTTGGAACACGGTATTGGGCGGTATGTCGATCGAGTGCGCTTTTAGGAGTTCTTGAAAGTCGCTGACCTGCTCTTTGGAGTTTCGCGGGCGTACAACCGCGACGTCTCCGGGTACATAGTGTTGCCCATCCGTCTGTAGCTTAATTAAACGTACATCCTAAAATTATTACACTTTAATGAATAAGTGATTGAGGGTTGAGTGAAATACTTGAAAATGTGAATCATCTGTGGTTCTTGTTATTTCCTTAACGGTGACTGTGAATTCATCCGGCTTACGTGATGTGTGGTACATGCACGAAGATACAGGTTCATTGTCGGCTAAATATGTGGATACATGCCATCTGAAAGCAAGCGATGAGAATCTGACATTTAAAAGATCCCCAATCTCCCATGACTACAACGACCAATTTAAAATGTTGTGAAGTGACAAGCTGACAAAATTTTTGTTTCCTTTCACTAGAAAAAAAAAAGTTAGCCAACTTCTCCAAAATTTAGTGTTAGATTCAACTTTTCGTTGGACACCCTGTATATATCCCTATGAAAATTACTTTAACAAGGAAACAATTAAAATTTAAGCCACCGGTTTCCTATAAGGTCCCATGTAAAAGTAGCCATCACGCCTTTTAAAGATTTTCTTACCTAGGCTTTAAAAGTGTGTTCCTACTTAAAGGATCCAATCCACCTGGTAACGGATACAGTTGAAGTAATTCCTTATACAAGGAAGTGATCCACGGATCAACAACCGCGTCATAACCGAGATCATGCTGATCATCAGCAAGACCTAGCGGTACCAACATGTCGCCTCCGAGTTGCGCTAAACGTTTATTTAAACGTTTGGCTGCAAAATTAAACTTAACATAACTAGAGTCACCCAAACCCAACACTGCAAACCTACAATAAATCGGATTAAAGGTGAATTCTACGCATCGACCTACCTCAAACTAAGCAGATTAGGTGGTAAATTCTTTCGTAAAAGAAACCTCCAAAATGATTTCATGTTGTCAGGCTCTTCGCCCTGTCCGGTAGTAGAACAAATAAATATAACGCAACTCTCTTTGGTAAGATTTATTATATCATAATCGTCCATTGCTTTTACACAACCGGTAAAATAATAGCGTCTCGATTCACGCCAGATTCTTTCGGCAACATCTTGTGCGTTGCCTGTTTGCGAACCGTACAAGATGGTAATTCGTTCATTTGTAAATTCCATTTCGTATTATTATTAACACATAACTTATCCATTAATTTACTCACCGAATTTTGCACTTAACTTTAAATTGCAAACTTTTGAGGTTATGTCTTTTTATTTTTTGGTTGTTTCCCAGGAAGTCTGACTTACACCACACCCTACGAACAAAGCACGAATTACACTGCACAATGCATTATACAGGGTGCCCCAAATTTAAAAGTCCATCCTGTAATGGCACATACGTTGGATCTTGGCTCGTTTTTTAGTGTGGCACCTTGAAGGAAGGTAAAAAACTGCCATCGCAAACCTTATTTATACTGTTTTCAGTTTAATACAAAAAACATTTGCATTTCCTATTCGAAAAACTAAATTGCTACAGTTCAGTTGCAATTTCAAACTCAGTACAGACAAAAAAAATCCAATAAACAGGAAATAGAGAAACAGTTTGGACAGTTTAAAAAAAACCTATTTATAAGAATACTCAAAATACAAAAGAAAATTAAGAACGCACAGTTAGTTAAACTGCTTTTGCAATTTCAGCTTTCACCACCTCGGCTGCACTGATCAAATCCAGACCTTCCAACATGTAAGCCAAATTTTCCATAGAAGCATCATCATCGTCTTCAAACCACAACTGTAACACATTCTTGGCTCGTTCCACTTCATTCGGATTCTCATCTTCGAAGAACTTGATCTCGTCCGATGTATAACCTGGAAAATCAACACTATTCAGACACTTGCAGATGTGCTACTATCCTACCTAGTTTCGTCGCGATTGTCTTCCAATTGGTGGCGATTGCTTCGCTAAACGTATTCAATTGGCTAACGGTAATTCTAAGATGTATAGTGTGCATATTGTGGTCGTCCGTAAATTCGTCTTCCTGCTTAATTTCCTCGGTGGGCTGCTCGTCCTCCTTGAAGAGGTTCTCTTCGAGCTCGGCGTCGTTTTGGTCGTTACCCTCCTGCACTTTTCCCGGACGATCGGCGGCGATTTTTCTAACCATCATCTCCAGGTAGTCGGGAAGTTGGTTGATCGGGTTGTTGCTGTACGTGAAGAAGTGGGGGCTGCGTCTCGCGACCAATCGCAAGGCGCGCCAGCCGAAATTGCCGTCTTTCAGTAGACTATCCTCCGGTTTGACGAACGTCGACGATTCTAGCTGGGCGATGGCTTCGGCGAAATAGTTTTCTAATGAAGGTAAAAAGTCGCGATCTTTGGACTTGCAAGCTTCTAGATTGTTCGGTGATAAGTTCCATCCTTTCGTCAGTTCGGAACTGGAACAAAGTGTGTTGAACTTCCAACAACATTTTTGGTACAAATTTTGAGTTCTGGGGGTAACCTAGAACGGCCATCTGGGAAAGATGGTAAAAAAGGCGACCCAAGCCAAGGGAAGAAATTGGACCCTAAGAATGACGAGAGGGTCATTTGAAATAAAATGTAAATTTACACTAGCTAAATTGAAGCCTCTAGCAGATTTTTGGAAACTTAATAATTTTAAGATTTCAAAAAACTTCGAGATTTAAGTATTTTTGAAGAATTTGTAGGGAAAAGAAAATTTTTTGACTTGATTGTGGAAGGAAGCTTCAAAAAACTCAAAAGCAGATTTTCAAAAAAGTTTCTAATATAATTCCTAGGATGAGAGATCCAAAGGAACAAGCAAATTTCAATATTTTGCTGTGTATAGTAACTTACTTTCCAAGATAGTACTTGCCGGCAGCATGTGCCTCCTTTAAGACATCGCCAAGGGGCCTACGTTCACTAATTGTCTTCATACACTTCTCACTAGGCTGGGAGATAGATGCTTTGAAATCTGCAACATAATGAATAAATGAACTACACAAGGTTGCAAGCGATACTACCAGGACATCCTTCATTCTTCCACGCATTCCAATTCTCCTCGCGTTTTAAGATATTCTTGATGTTAAGGGTAAACTGTTCCCCATCGGGGGGCGTTTCGCGAAGTAAAACGTAGACTTTTTCAATTCCGCTCTGCACCCACTCCTTTTGATCACTTTTTAGCTCGTGATTCTCCCTGGAATTTTTGTATTAGCTGTGCCCAATCGAAATGGCGTCTTACTATATCTCAAAAAATAAGAAATATATAGCTTTCATATGAGATGTGAAAAAAAAGGGCTTTAATTTTTTGAAAAACGAACTAACGCATTGATTTAAATTGTGGCAAATTTTGCAAATCCACATTTTTTCTCCTGAAAGCTCTATCTTTGTTACCTTTCAGCCATTCATATTTTGTCACTTACGATTTAAATTTAACACTCGACGTCAAATACTGAAACAGAATAAGGAATTGCACGAGAACAGATCGACGGAAGTTAACGTCGTATATCTGCAGGTCTAGCAGTTTCTGATTGGTCGGATATTTGGGAAAATATGGTGTATCGTCTGACTTATCATCATCATCGTCGTCCTTTGAGTCCTTACTGACATAATCGAGTTTCAATGCTTCAAAGGTGCTCAATACACTGGTCGCATGCTGTAAATTACCGGTCTGTTAGACTGGAAAAACTTTATTCGTGTTGGCAATACCGACAAGGCTAAAGGAACCTGTCAAGTTCACTTGTTTCAAATTTGTTTGATCAGTGGCGCCACCTGGTGGCCCTTATGCATGACATGAGACTAAATTTTGCCTTACTTTAAGCTGATAAAATTTTCCACGACAACGAAAACTTACCGAGCAAAACACTTTCCATTGGACCTTATTGTAACACTGATTAGGATTCCGAAAGAAATCCTGTAATGACCAAAATTTGCAGTACAAACTGTAATCGATTATAATATTCTTCTTAGAACCGGCGATTTCAATTTCCGTGACAGAATCTTCGGAGGCATCTGCCCCGTACTCGGTCACATTCTCCAAGTTAAACTCGCTCACGATATTTAGACCCGAGCGCTCGGAGAAAGGAAACAATTTCGCGAGGAATAGAGAAATTCGTCCACATAAAACAGTGGCGCTAGTCTGCGACAGTCTTCTCACTAAATCATTACACATCCTCAGCAGGTTGTTCTTGCACGAGGTGAAGAACAGCTCCTCCTTCCAAACGTTTACTTGTTCCTCGACGAAGGTAAACATATCCTCGCACAAATCTAGCGTCAATCCTTCAAAGATATCGGCGAGAAGGACCACGGGTAGTGTCGTTGTGGCCATCTCCTTCCTGCACACTTCAATGGATAATCTAACCAAGTTTTTTAATCGTTCGATGTCCGCGTCAATATCGAGAAGGTTAAGGCCGACATCGCGAAACGCTTGATCCAACGCGGCTCGTATGTCTACGGCTGAGTTTTGTAATGACTTGTACTTGGATTCTATCGGCTCGATGTCTTTGGAGACGAGAACATCTTTCAGCAGCTCCTAAAGCAACGTTAGATAACTTTGTGACATCGGGAAGCTTACCTTATAGTCTCTCTTCACTGTTAAGTGATTTAGAGAAGACAGTGATTGGAATAAATCCATTGTAATTATACGAAATCTTTTATTACTAACAACTCATTTTTATTGAGAAATTAACCGAAAACAACGCTCTTAACCTAACTTTTGTATTGTAAACTTTCGGTGTCGCAATGCCCGTTCCCAGTTGGCGGTTGTATAGGCAACACATCAAACGTACATGTAGAAATCAAACAGAACACAATACAGGGGGATCATTAAAGCATGACCTTGCGCTCTTATTAAAACATTGAGACTAACAGGTTCAGAATTCAGATTGCGTCGCACTGTGTTATGGAATAGCACTTTCCTTCAGTCAAGTGAGCAATCTTAATCGCACTACTCTAATTCGTAAATTATGTGCAAATTGAAGATCACCTGCTTCAGAATTTATCCATTAGGGATAAATTAGAAATCATAAGAACGGCATTCCATATCATAAACGAGAAGGCAAATCAAAACAATCCCTAACAATTATCTAAAGGCGAGCACGTGATTCTTCAAATTCATGTTTTTCGTTGGGTTTCTTCAAATTCCTAAAACCTAGTTGTTTAGTTTCTTCATATTCTGCTAATTTTTTAATCCTTCACACTGTATTCAAGACCGTATCGTACCCAGGACGAAAGTATGCGTCCTGTTACCTTCGTGAGTTATACAATCTCCTGGTACGCTCGCAATATATACAGACGCCACCCTCTGGGAGCTCCGTGGCGAGTCGAGTGCTAGGAGGATGAATCTGCTACAGAAATCAAGTCTGAAAATATAAAGAACAAAACAACAAGAATATCCCGTGATAACAGAGCTGTCTTTCAGGCACTCGGTTAACACCTCTATGCTGATGACGTTCGAAACCGACCCTTTCTTCTGGTTTTATTTATTCTTTTATTCTAATTGGACTTTTGAACAAACTCTACAGAAATAGATCTAATCTCTCATATTATAAATAATTATTAGTGAGTAAACATATCCATTTCAGTTCTAAAAGCAGAAAACTAATCGTTTTTCGGCCGTGGTGACCTTCATTAAAAAATATTGATTTATCATATGCCATTAGATAGTAGACTTCCCTCTATAAAGTCCGTGACCTAGGTCAGATCAGTTGATCGGTCACCATAGCAATGAACATGCAGAATTATAGAGCACGTATATATTTTTGTAAAAATTTTAACATGAAGAGCTGATAACACTTCTGACCAGCAAATAAATCGTAATTTTTGATTTTGAACCAGCTATGTCAAGAAATATTATAACAATAACGAAATGGGTTCCGTTACAAACTGAAGAAAGCAAAAATGTATTTTTGAAATGTAATCACTTGAGGACCGCGGCTCAAGATTTATTGCAATCGCTAGGGACGTTTCTTAGCGAGTTTCAGCAAAAGAACGGATGGAAATCGTACCAGACGCTATCAAATAATGAACTGATCATTGAGGTATGTGTTCGTAATCGAATTACAATCACTTACTATCTTTTAAGAACCTGGAAGCAATAACCGATACCGCTCATGAGCTGAAGAAAAGCTTCTTCAATGCCTTCAGAGAACTCGGGCAAAATCGACAAATGGCAATAAAAAAGGTAAAGTCGAAGATGTGGCAGACTGACCTGTGGAAAATCAAATTAAAGCTCTCCTACTTCCTTCAGCATCTCATCTCTGAAATTGCGTTTCTGTACGTTCATTACGGAGAGAGAATGTTGACCATATCGTTTAAGTGAGTCAATTCGCTAGTTATTGCTTCGAAATCCATGGCAAATTTCAGACTGTCAGACAGTTACAATCAATACTTGGGGATGGATGCAAAATTTGCGTTGACTTCCAACTTTACGATTTGCAGCAACATGTGCCCATATCTGATGTATCCGTTGAGGAAGATTTCATTCACTAGACTCCTGCAGATCTTGGCGCAAAATCGTGCCGAACTCTGCTGTCACAAGTTAATCGACTGTTTGTTAGACACGTATAAATTGCACGAGAGTCACGAGGACGATGTCGGATCTGATAACTCCAGTATCGAAATTTACAGGTAACGTACTCATCACCGAGTCCTGCAGTACTAAGTCGGTTGCAGGGCGATAACAAAACACCTGTCTCCGCCTCTAAACGACGTTACCAACCCCGAAACAGTAAAGGAGACCCAATGCACCCAGATGGATAACTTCGCAAACATGGAGGAGTTAATTAAATACGAAGAACAGAACGTTCTGGATCTGCTCGATGCCGCAGTTCGAGTGGTTCCTTCGATGCTGGGAGATGACACCATAAGAAAATCGAAATCTTCCGGTAGTTTATCAGTTGAAAGTGGGTGAGTGATGTTGAAACTTTCAGGAGAGTCCAAGATTAATACCAAAGCGAAGGAGAAAGTGCTGGACTATTACCAGCAAATCCTCTGGGGGGAGGTGGGTAATTTTTTGGATCACATCATCTTGTGGTGGAGTGCCCTGCCGTTAGCTACTCGCCCCCCGCACTCGACGCAGCATCTCCGCGACTGGATCACCCAGTTCTTACCGACGAGTATTACTAATAATCGAATGTGAGCAAAGGTAAATGTCAGCGGTTTCAGTCGAAATTCCACACTGCATACTGTCGGCGATTATTAGTCTCGCGGATTCGTTGGGGATGCACATCACCTCGACCTCTTGGGATCAACATTTTCGGGTCGCTTTGGTTGCCTCGCGCAAGCCCTTTCATCACGCGACAGGGCGTACGTTCAACGATTTGCTGCAGAATCTCGTTCTGCTCTGTAATCAGTGCGAGACGACGAGCGATTGGATTCTCGGCGCCCCTCTTGAGGAGTTACCAGTAGTCGAGCAGATACCAATATTGCACCGATTAGGTGAGGCTTATCTTGGGAATTTGGCAAACTTTTTAAATTTGTAGATCACTCGATTCATACGACACGCCTCTGGGCAATAAACGAGACGAAACGCCTCGCTAACCATTGGGAGGTCGACAAATTTTTCACAATAACTCACTGCGACATTGTAAACTACCTGGCCCAGCTCAGCATTCTCAAACTAAATGATCATACGGCAGACATAGAGAGGGGCGGCTTCGGCGCGCATGTCCAAGTCTGCATAAACATGAGGGCGAAACTGGCGTCGGAAGTTACCACGAATCACGACACACTGAAGGTCACACAAAAAGTGTGCATTGATACACTGGCCAGCGTTTGCCGCATGATCAGCTTGGCGAATTTGCAAATGATTTTTCCCGACAATCAATTTTATAGAAGAAGCTCCTTTAACGGCCCAGAAAAGCCCAGCAGTTATGTTAGTACTTACTTAGGTGCGATTTCAAATCGAGCTAGCATAGTTTACACGACAATTTTAGATGCGATCTTAAGTCCGGTCTTAGCCACCACCGAGGATCACCACATAAGCAACATGATCTTGAAGATAATGTGCGAGTGCTGGCTGGACCACATCTACATGAACAAAATGAAATTCTCCCAAAGCGGCGCTTACCAACTGCTCACCGATTTCGCCTCGGTCACCACCTGGTTGGTAAACTGTCCGATAATCACTCAGCATATGAGAAAGGTGATGCTCAAAAATGAGGTACTGAGACGATGCGAAGGAGTCGGTCGTTTACTACTGCGAAGTCCGGGAGAGCAGCTGAAAATGAATGAGATTAAAGCCAACGGTTCGGTGCTCTCTAAAATTGTGCACTTATAAGGTTTGTTGTTTCAGAAACCGAGTCTCCCAAGTCGGACAGTTCCGAACTGATGCCTCCGGAAATGTACGTTCCGAACCAAGAGCAGTGGTTGGAGTTACGCGCGAACAGAAGAACAATTAAGTTGAAGACGTCTTTGTGCTGCAACACAAACGTTGATTAATAAAACTATTTTTCGAGCACTATAATTTTTTGCCCAATCCGAAAAATATTCATCTTACATCTTCTTTTTGTCCGATATCTTCCCACAGCTGTAGGGAAACGGTCAGAGGATCTTCCTGTTCTTCTTCAATGTCGGAGTCAACTTGATGGCAGTTCCCTGGCACACTGGGGAATATTTGAGGCCACAGTTCGCGTCGTCACAGTCTTTCTTGCTGTGCCCTTCGCATAAATATTTTCAAAGACTCTCTCGTACACGAACTCTTAACATACAGTGACATTCATGTAGAAGAATAGACATAGGGATTTTCTATGTCTACTTTTACATGATAAAAAGTCTTCCAAATGACGCCTAACTTTATGCAACCAAAGAAACTACCTACAACAAATGAGGATCTGCCTGTCATATTAATTAATTTGAATATTATCGCTTTGACTTCCGTATTCTAATTTAGATTCGTGTGCGATGTATTCAACTAAAGGAAAAGTTAATATTTCCAATTGGTATAGTGCCGGTAACAGTTAAAGGAGCTTAAGAGATTTATTTTCTGTGAAGATAAAGCAACAATATTCAAATTTATAATTAATATGACAGTCCGATCTTTATTTGTTTCAAGGAGTTATTTTGGTTGCATAAAATTAGGCGTCTTTCAGAAAACTTTTTATCATGTAAAAATAGACATAGGAAATCCGTATGTCTACTTCTACATGAATATCACTCTATATCGCCAAACCTGATCCAATACTTTGATGTCTGTTTACTCATTACTGTATATCCATATGTAAACAAGTATGGAAAGTATGCCCTAGGACACCCTTGCGTTCTTGTCACGGGCGGAGAACTCCGTGACGTCAACGTTAATAGCATCGATAAGGACTTGTGTTACCTCCACAATAACTGTACCATCCAGTTCTTTCTTATCGCTGCCATGCCCCTTTGAAGACTACAAATGCGGTGCTAGCTCCCTATGCTACTGCAAATGCTCGCCTCGAGTACTTGGAACAGTTTGGCGAACGAGTACTGTACTTTGACATAGACTCATCCATCACATTCACTGAGAAGCCAACAAATTTGGTGCCCTCCTGTTGGTAGTTTCTTAGGGGATATGACGGACGAAATACTGTTACGGTTCGGGTAACCATATCGTCGAATTTCTGAGTGGTAGTCCAAAAAACTGCGCATACAAAGTGTACCGGGTGAGGACCAATACAAAATTGTATGTAAAGTGAAGGGGAAGTATTATTAGAAAGCACTTTATAGGTTTCCTATATTAATTCTAACGCTTTTGGATGCCCTTAGAAACCGTTGACTCCCGCAGACGCTTTTGGAATTGGATTTACTCCTTTTCTAGACCATGCAATATGTGCGAGAGATGGAAATGTGTTAACATCACCCCAACGATGCGTTACACAACGCCTGCATGCATGCCACGTCTGTTATCAGCCTCTTTTTATATAATTATAAAAAAGGGTTAGAAGCCAGTTGTAATACAAGCAAGTAACAAAAAAAAAGATAGCTGTACAACGGGGTGACTCATCTGTGGTACAATAAAATCCTTTTGTTAAAAGCAGCATGGAAAGTTACATGGCTTTGAAGGGCAAACACCAACTCTGTACAGATACATACAGCAAACAATTCAATAACTTCCACAAATTTAAATTAATGATCAAAAATATAAATTTCATTACAAACCAATACCATGTCATCGAAACATAAAGATAAATTGGACAAATATTTACACCAGAAACTTAAACAATTCCAAACAAAAGGTTAACGGTATCAAACACGTGATTCTGCATGTCATTTTTAAAAACAAAGATGGAAAATTTTTAAAATATAATTAATTTAAAATAAATTAAATAGAAATGCATTAAATTATAACATCTCATTGACCGCCTAAATCAAGATGCCAAACGTAAGCAGCGTTGCTCTCCGAGATGGCGCAGACAGCTTTATCCTTCTAATCAGTCACGTGATTTCCGGCTCTCAAGAATGTGTGCATCGTCGTAGGTTGTATATACAAGGTGGAACCTCTCACTCTAAACCCTGAGAAACGGCTGACGACTCTTAAAGGCTCCCGAAAGCCCTTTATATTCACTTACAGGTTCTTAAAGCTGGTAAGGGATCTTAAAGGCTCTTCCAAGAATTAGATAGTGTTAGTACTTTGGATGTCGCACAGTTTCACATCTATATATGGCCGACAATTTTGTATTTGATCCTGTATGGTATTACATTGAGCTGTTGAAGAGCTGTTTATGGCTGCAATTAGACAGAAAGGGGGAAATAGTTAGTAGTCTAACACCTCAATGTTGGTCAAAGGATTCCACTTGAAGAATTCACCCAGATTTGGTTTCAGAATCTCTAAATTAATTTTTTCACTTTGGTTTTTCCTAAAAGAGAGCATATCAATAACAAGTTTTTTTTAAACAAATAACAAAAGATATATTTCTAAATATTTTCTTCTACACGTCAAATTTATTCAGTTCGTATAATTATCGATACTCTTCTTAATCAATTACAATGGTAAATGCTTTTTTTTTTACAAATATTTATCAAACCTATAAAACGATCATCTTAAGTAGTTGCCATTCACGTTAATAATTTAAAAGAAGTCTTTAATAAATTAAGTCGTTCATTTGACGACCTTCGCGCCGCCGGATGGCAGTTTGTTCTCGAACTTTTGCTGTAGCGCGGCAACGTTCGAATTTTGACGCTTCGCGCCGCTCGCCGTCGGCGCTTTCGCCGCTTTGGTTGAGGCGAGCGGTTTGATGTCGGTCGGTGCGTTTTTAAGGCCCATCTGTTTAGCTACTTTAGGAACACTTTTGGGTAGATTTGGTTTTTTTAGTATCGCCGGCGCACTGTTGTTCAAAACGTCGGGGGATTTCGCACTGTTTTCGCTCGCCGAGCAGCTCATCACTAGATCGGGGCTGTTCGACGTGTTGGAGGGCGAGTGTGGGGCGGTTCGCGTAGGGGACGGTCTGCGTGTTCGTAAATTGGTCGGCGTTAACTGGCGGCTTGGGAATTTTGAAAGCGGGGGCGTTTTGGTCACTTTTGTGAGGTCCTTGTTAATGGAGTTGGTGGTGATGCGCTGCGTCTTAAAGGGCCCTTTCTGGAGCGGGGAAGGCTTCTGGGCGCTTATCTCCGGTTTCGGATCTGATTTAAAAGTGCTTAAACTAGGTCTGGTGTTATCTATTCCCACGGGTTTGGTGATGTTGGCGGGTTTTATTGGGGGATTAACCATGGATGGCGCTATGTAGGCGCTTGAAACGGAACTGGCGCTCGATTTATTCTGGTTCATATTGCTATAAATACTCTCAGGCACTTTGTACATCGGCGACGTATTCTCGTACATCTCCGACGTGTCGCAGATCTTCGAATCGTCTTTCCGCCGCGATAACGTGGACGTCGAGTAGATCGATTCGCCGTTTCGGATTTGTATTTCGGAAACGATTTCGCTAAGCAATCCCGCGCTGTCGCTGGAAACGGAGTTTTCGGGGGAGCAGACGGTCGAAGTGGGCGTCTCGTCGATTACCGCGTAAATATTATCACTAACCGGCGAACTTTCCTTCTCCTCCTTTATCTTGATTAACTTTGTCGCTTCGTTCAGGCAGTCGTCGTACTGATTGTGGCTCTGGAGGTCCGCGCTCAAAGGCTTGTGGTAGCCGGGAATTGTAGGGACCTTTACGGTGGTCGGTTTGGTGTCGTCTTGCAAATCGGGCAGGGACGGTCTGGGCGGCGGCGGACTTTTCGGACGGTTCGCCGCGGGAATGCTGATAGGCCGCTTGATACCGCTGGGATTTCTCATCGAGCCGAAATTGGGAATGTTCGGGCGCTGGGTGACGTTACTGCCGCGCATGCTCTGCGCCCTCATTACTACGGGTTTCGCATCCGATACCGTGACCGCGCCCGTTGTGGGGATCGCGATGGACGACTGCGGAATTGGATTTGAAATTTCGATCGTTCTCAAAGAATTTTTGTCCAAGACCTTCGCCGCTTTTACCGCATTTTTAGGCGCGGCACTCTGCGTTTTTAAGAATGACGCGATACGATTAAGGGCGCTGTTGTTTTCCTTTACCGGTTTGACGTCGGGGGTTATGGTGGAGATAATCATGGTATCGGGGCTGGAGAGGGGACGAGAAGGCGCGGGCCTCGCGGGAATTTTCGGTACGTTTTTTAAAGGTGAAAGCAACTCCTTCGCTGTACAAGTTGAATTTTCTAAAATCGGGGACGAGATGATCGGTCGCGGATTTGCGCCCGGATTTAACGGCGGAAGCGCGGGGGGAGATTCCACACTTTGCACCTTGGTGGAATTTGAGCGAACGACTGGCTTACTTACAACACCGGCCGTTGTATTAGATCGGTTAACTACAGGCGTCTTTACAACGGGTTGAGGAACGGGGAGAGGAGGAGCTGGTCTTATCGGTTCCGCTTCTTGAGTTTTCAACGGTGAAATCGAAAAACCCTTAAAGTTGCCAAAGAATTCCTTCTTCAGCGCGTGTTTGCCGGCTTGGTCTTCGTGCAGAAGCGAATGGATATCTTCAGAGCGTCTGGTAGTTTGAGACGGTTGAAATGATCCAAGCCCTCTCGGCTTTGACGGTGAAGCTTTCCTGTCGAAAGCAAAACGCATAAGCTCAGGTTATGGCGTTAGGTGAACGAAAAAGCAAAGCCTATGGTTAACGGTAGAACATATTAGTAGCACAGGCACAAAGCAATTAAGAAAGAAAACAATTAAGCAACAAAATGATAAGGTGTATTTAAGTACGAGCATATTGCACAAACATCAGTTAAACTAAGACCACTAACAATTTCTCTTATCAAATTGTTTTGCCATATCCTTCACCGACATCGGTTCGTCGACAAGAGTCTCACAAGTATCGGGCGTATCCGTCACGCCCACCCTATTTTTATTAATTTTCAAACTAGTATTTAACTTGAGTCCTCTAACATTCTTAAAAGAAAGTCTGCGTTTCGGGGGAGGGTCATTAGTCTTACTATCAAGAGTGCCAAGATTAACGTAATGATGATTAGCGGCGGTGCCGGCGGAATTGTTAACATTCACAAGGTTCACACTTTTACTTAACACTTGCGTATTAGTAGTGGAAATGAGACCTGTAGGTTTAATCTCAATGTTCAAGTTACGTAATGAGCCTCCACTTTTGGTATTAGCGACCTGTTGTGATATTGAAGGGATAGATTCTTTAGGCCTAGAAGTATTACCGACACCTTTACATGCAGAAAAGACATGCTGGCAACCTGAGGTAATATTATTGAGTACGTACGATGGTGAGGATTTCTTCCACGTCAACTTCAGGTTGTGGCGCGTGTAGTACATCAGAAAGCCGACTATCGCCAATGCCGGCAGGATGCCCAAAAATATGATGAAGAGAGCTGTAACGAAATCGTTTCGGCCTGAAACAAAGTTTAAAATAAATTAAATGAGTTAATGACAACAGTTCCATTATGGCGGTTACCATAGGCGCAAACAAGTTTACATTTTTCCAAAACAGCGTCAGCAATTTTAGGAGAATTGAGGCAGACACCTGTATTTTACAGCTTTGAGCAGTGGCGACATCTGAAGTCCATCAGGACAATTATAAGCAGGCCATACAGTCGCTATGTGAGCAAACTCAGTTCGCCAGGGCTGAGAAGCCTACTCAAAGTCGTATCGTGGCGCACTATTTCCTTCTCAAATTCACCCCTGTAATATTCGCCCCCAATAACTGCACTCACGAACACTTTTGCCTTTCAACATTTCCCCCCTTCAATACAGACTAATTCGTTCTGGGTCACTTACGCTCGTGAAAATCCATACCAGGAATATTTTTTTTAAAAATTCGCTCCTGGGAAATTCGTCCCTAAGGATATACTGTAATGCCGCGTTTACACGACACCAGTAAATAACAGGACTCAATTCTAGTCTTTAAGATCAAGAGTAGCCAGTGGCCCCGAATAATAATCAACCATGTTGGCAAACCTAGTAAAGTTCAGGTATTCTCCCCAAGATGGCGCTTGTTATCACCAAAAATCTTAAATGTGTCCAGTGTGATTACTCACACCAATAATAAATACCACTTGCTTTTTTGCCAAAAATAGCGGATGATTGCGATTTTAGAGAGCCTAAGATTGCGGTACTTTTTATATCTAGTGACTTTAAACGCGCTAAAGTCACTAAATATAGAAAGTACCGCAATCTATTGGGCTCGTGTGTTAGAGAGAGAACGCATGATTTTTGCCCAAAAATGGCGGAAGTTACCAGATTCTAGTAACTTTAATGTTAGGTATTGTTCCACCTGTTGGGAGATATCTGTATATATTTTTATAAAACATGACAGTACTATGAAGTTAGGTTATGAAAAATGACAGCTATTCAGATTTTATTTGTCAATTTTTTAAGTTGGCAGCAAATTTGCCCAAAAATGGCGGATGATTGCGGTACTTTCTATATCTAGTGACTTTACCAAGAATGTTAAATGTGTCCAGTGTGACACCTCACACCAATAATAACTACCACTTGCTTTTTTGCCAAAAATAGCGGATGATTGCGATTTTAGAGAGCCTAAGATTGCGGTACTTTTTATATCTAGTGACTTTAAACGCGCTAAAGTCACTAAATATAGAAAGTACCGCAATCCATTGGGCTCGTGTGTTAGAGAGAGAACGCATGATTTTTGCCCAAAAATGGCGGAAGTTACCAGATTCTAGTAACTTTAATGTTAGGGATTGTTCCACCTGTTTGGAGATATCTGTATATATTTTTATAAAACATGACAGTACTATGAAGTTAGGTTATGAAAAATGACAGCTATTCAGATTTTATTTGTCAATTTTTTAAGTTGGCAGCAAATTTGCCCAAAATGGCGGATGATTGCGGTACTTTCTATATCTAGTGACTTTACCAAGAATGTTAAATGTGTCCAGTGTGACACCTCACACCAATAATAACTACCACTTGCTTTTTTGGCAAAATAGCATGATTGCGATTTAGGAGCAGAACTTTCTATGACATGCACGACGATAGATTGCGAGGTACAGTTTCTATATCTAGACTATTATTTACCAAGTTAAATGTTTTGCAACATGTGTCACATTGGTGTAAACGCACTCACCTCACACCAATAAATAACAATACCACTCGCTGCTTTCCGGTTTGCAATTTGCATCGGATAGCTCCTCTTAAAATGGCATTCAGATATGTCAATTCAACAAGAACAAACTAAATGAAAACTGTAGGGAGTAGTGGTGCCCTCTGGCGGCCGAAAAAAATTGCCATAATAGCGCCTTCCAATACGAGTTGGAAAATGCGCTAAAAATCACAAAAATTCCACGCAGTCTTAGTGAAAACCACTCACCTTCTGGATCGCTAGTCGGTCCGCTATCCTCAGAGCCTCCAAACCCTGGCAGATCTATATCTAGTGACTTTAAAACGCGCTAAATTTAGGCGCCCTCTATGGGGAAGCGGTAGGTGTTACCATTATAATTACAATCGAATCTGCCGATTGAAATTTCATGAAAAATATCGATTTTTAGCGACTTTAGCGCCGCGCTTGGCAAAATCTGGCAATTTGTTTTAAAGCTCCTCTTAAAATTGCGCAGGTTCAGATGCTATAAGCTACTAAATTCAACAAGAACAAACTAAATGAAAACTGTAGGGAGTAGTGGTGCCCTCTGGCGGCCGAAAAAAATTGCCATAATAGCGCCTTCCAATACGAGTTGGAAAATGCGCTAAAAATCACAAAAATTCCACGCAGTCTTAGTGAAAACCACTCACCTTCTGGATCGCTAGTCGGTCCGCTATCCTCAGAGCCTCCAAACCCTGGCAGATCGCAAAATGGCGGCGCAAATCCATCCCTACAATGGCAGTGACCCAAGCTATTACATATACCATTCCCGTTGCAATCGTTCGGGCACGTTGCCTCCGCCATTCTCAAACTTTCTATAGACATGCACTTTTGATTGACGCACATCTAAAACACTAAACTTTAGACTTCGAAACGGACGACGGTCCGAGCACCTTAGACTCCCCACACTTCGCACCGTCGGGCGCCAGTCCCGGATCGATCTGATTTATCCCCAAATCGACTAAGGCAGTACGGCACGGAACGACGGATCCCTTGACATTTATAAAGCTATGCGAGAGTATCGCGACGGACTCCATCCCGAACTCCAACCTTTCGTTTAAATGTTTACAGTGCAACATTCCGCAAAAGATGTCTCTGAAAATTGGCAATTAGCGCACCGTCTCTTACCCCTAAACGCACTCACTCGTCCTTGCACTTAAAATACGATTGATTCAACTTATTGTAACCGCAGTTGCCGTGACGGGAACCCTTGGTGTTCAGCAGATAGCACTGATCGTCGCTCGACTTTCCGGTTTCGCCCCAAAGCAATTTGCACTGATCGGACCTCGTGCGGCAAAAGCCCTGGTAACAGTAGGCCTTTCCTCCGTCGCAGGTTTCCGTGTCCATTTTGTAAATGTCGGCGGGGCAATACTCGGACTGCCCCGTGCAATACTCGGGTAGATCGCATTCGTAATCGGCCGATCGGCAGAGAGTACTGGCGGACTTGGGACGACAAGTCTAAAGTGAGGGTATTAGAACAACAAAGGTGACTGTCGACACAAAAAGTAAATAGACTTAAGTTTCCAATGCAGGTTTCTAGAAGGCACCAGTTTTAGTGATCACTCTTTAGATGAACACCTAGCCGCCGCTACCGTACACAAACGCTGCAATTAATTCGCCGTTTGCAATCGTTCCCGTCAAGATATTTAAATTATTTTTGTTACGTCCGAAAGCTCTTATCATTTAGAAGATGAAGGCAAATTGATATTTTAGAATTTCAGCTTCGATAAGCCATTATTAGCAGGTTTTTGTTTCGTATGTTAATTTAAAACTGCAGGTTTACGTCGTTATCAGGTTGATAAGAGACCTTTATGCCGACCTAACCAATTCCAATTATAGGTATTTAATTCGACTACAGTCATGAGGAGTCTCAAAAGAAACGCTCTTAATTAATTTGAATTTTAAGACCAATTACAGATTTTTAGGACGTCCGCATGCCGCACAATTAATTAAGGGAAGTTTTAATGGAATGAATGAATGAATGAGGATAGTAAGGAGAGAAAAGAAGTAAAAGAGGAAGAGTGGTTTGAGGTGTTTAGGAGGAGCGAGAAAGTCTTAAGATCACCGGAACAAAGCAAAATGAAGGCAGAGAGAAAGAAGGGGAAGAGGGAGGAGACAGATAAGAGGAGCAGAAGAAAGGGGCAAAGCGGAATGAAGGGTTCTGGAATGTGGTGGGGATAGTAAGTAAAGGCGTATAAATCTGGAAGTTTGTAAGAGGATATGATGGGGTGGGGTTGGTGGAATCGTGGCTAGAAAAGAACAGGGAGAAAATAAAGGATAGGTTACAGAGTGAATACATATGGAAGAAACAATTCGCAAAGAGGGAAAACATAAAGGGAAGAGCAAAAGGAGACATTTTAACAGGGCTAAAAAAAAGATATAAGGGAAAGGGCTAATGAAACGAAAGAGGAAGAAGGTAAGACGAGTGGAAGTGGGGGAAGAGAATGCGAGCGATAACGATATATAACAGAGAAGGAATGAAAAAGTTAAAAAATAAATTAGAAAATATGATAGATGAAACAGAGGAGGAGAGGATAATAGTGGGGGGACATTTTAATTTCAGAACAGAAAATAAAGGAAATTGGGTGGAGATAAGAAGCGGAACACAAGATAGAGAGTCAAGAGATAAAGAAAGCAACAAAGAGGGGGGGGAGTTTTTGCTGGAATTAACAGAAAGGAGAGGTTGGAGAATATTAAACGGAAACATGGAGAGAGATAGGGATGGGAGAGGGATGTGAGTAAATAAGTCTAATAGAGAATGATAAAAAGAGAAAGGAATAGAAGGATTCAAGGACGAAGGGAGACACAATTATGTGCAGTATTATAGGAGACTAGAGAGGAGCAAATATATGAAATAGGGGAGAGAAGAGTATTAAAAAGGCAATAACATGGAAACAGGTAAAGGAAGACAATAGGTAAAAGAGGGGAGTAATGTGACAGAGTGTACAGAAGAGAGAAAACAGATACAGAGCAATGATGGAGAGGAAGAAAGGGAGGAATAGGGGCGAAGGAGGTGAGAGAACAGAAGAAAAGGTACTACAAGGAAGCAGAAGAAAGGGTGTGAGATAGAGAATGAGGGAAGAAAGAAGGTGAACGGACATAAGATATCACGAGAAGAGATGGAGCAACAATTAAAGAGATAGCGCTGATTTACAAAAGAAGGGAGAAGAGCCATATGGAAAATTATAGGGGAAAGGATGCTAGAGGAGCGAAATAGGGTTTATAAAAGGGAGGGAGGCGGTACATTGTATATATGTATTACACGGAATGCTGGAAAAGGAATTGGAAAAAAAAGGGCAGAAACGTAATGAAAAAAATGATGAAAAGAGAGGTAGTGAGAAAGAAAATGAATGGAATTAAATGTAGAAAAATCGAAGATAATGAAATTTGGGAAGAGGGGACGTAGGAAAAGGGTGATAGAATGGAAGTGGAAGGAGGAAGTAAGAGAATTTAAGCACCTAAGATACCAAATACAACAAAATTATGGGGCAAACGCATAAACATAAGAATTAAGAAAAAAAGGAGAAGTGGCGATGAGGTTCAAATGTGGAAATGAGGAGAGAGGAAGGAAGAAGTGTAGAGAAGATGAAGGAAGGAAATGTAGATTAAGGGGAGAGAAAGAAGAAGATATTGATCTTATCAGGTGATAATAGAATGCAAAGTAGAAAGAACAGAGAAAAGGAGGAAAGAAATATTGAAATATGAAGGGTGGAGGGGGGAGAGGTGGACGAAGAACTCTTAAGTCTACATACTTTTTGTGACGACATTATAAGGAAACGTTTACCTTGAGATCACAGCATTCACCCGTTGCGCATGTAGCGTTACCGTACAACATACACGTTGTCGCATTACAACAGGTGTTATCACAACGATTCGGTAACCCGCAATCGCACTGCTCGCCCGGTTCAACGAACCCGTTCCCGCAAACGGGACTAGCAAACAGAGCTTGCGGCTTATTTCTCAAGCAATAGTCCATGCCGTGCTCGAACGCCAAAGCCAGGTACTCCAAGCTGCAAGACGACCAATGCGTCGGCGGAGTTGAAGAACTGCTGGGAGCCATAATGCACCGCTCCTCCGGGCATACACACTCGTTGGTATCGTGTTCCATTCCTGCAAGAGCTAGTTACCGACCAATTCCGGACCAAGCAACCGTCCTTACCGAAGTTGTGCCCCATTTCGTGTGCGACCGTGGTCGCTACCAGTCCGATAATCGGCGAGTGATCCGTGTTAACGCCGCCCGAGTACTCGATGGTACAAATTGGTCCCTTTAGAGCTTTACCTACGACACCGTGCTCGAAGGAAAACTTCCTAAAATTATATTGTTAACCGAACGTCGCAATACACAGTGTGCTCCAGTTAAAGCGGTCACAATTTCTTGCAAATGAGTGCGGGCTTTAGTTGGAACACACCGTATAGCTCACAACTAACGTGAGTAGCTGGGCGTTGTCGTTGGGATGCTCCTTGATCAGCTGATCCTTGCGATAGTGTAAGAAATTCGTCAGCGTCGTATCGCCATTGGTTGAGAAAGTGAGCTCGTCCTGTTCGGACCAAATGACTATACCTACCAGCGCGACAAATATATTTAAAGGCGCGTATAGCTGTAAGGGACGCAATGAGCGCGATTAAAACACACGGGATTGCTCACTTACGGCGTTAATAATGTTAGCGATTTGTTGGCAGTGATGCTCCACCCTCCGGTGGTTCTCCCCCATCTCTTTGAATTCGGCGTTATCCACCACTAAAATTAGTTCTACATATCTCGATTGCCTATTCGCGTTGTACGGTCCTTTCAAGGTACTTTGCGAGTCCGTGCCACGCTTGTACTAAAAAGTGGCTACGATCAAGTTCACCCCCCCAACCAACCAAGGCGATACCTACTCTTAATATACGGTTATTTACAGGTAGACGCGTCGCCAGGTGATCGTGATCACCGTACCCGCACGATTTGTTGTTGGGCACCAAGTCGGAATGTTTATAAAAATAGTGGTCACTCTCAAATTGCACGTTTCCGTCGCTCGGTTTTTCGATGTAATGCACCTCGGTCCCGTCGAAGACCATACCGGAGATACCGTCGTCGTCGCATGTTGAAATGGCGGCCCACGAATTCGGTATTCCTTTTATCGTTCCGTGGTAGTGGCACAGGTCTATATTCTAAAAAATGGAGTAAAATTACATTTACAGACTTTAAGAAAGTCTTCCTACATATTGTCATTTAATTGTGTTTGTTGTACTTAGTGAGTATCATACATTTTAGAACGCATAAATTATCGAAATTGGTTAAAAAGGCGTTATTGGACAAATTAATTGGCCTTGTTTACTAACAACGCCACGTCCAAGGTAACAAATGCAGGTGTTTGGAGTTCGGGCGATGTCGGTGGGAATAGAGAGCGACGGCGGGAACGATATTGAACTTATGAATTGAAGTAGTTTCAGTTTTAAATAAAAAAGACGAAGAGTTTAAGGTCTTGCATCTGAAGTTATTACACATGTGATGCGGTTCCGCAGTTTTGTTAAAGTGTGGTTTAATTAAAAATTTAATTAAAAATTTTGTATCACCCGATCAGCCATTATAATTATTTCTTACCTTCATCAAATAAGTTAATGGATTACCTTGCGTGTTAAACAAAATGTGTGCTTTATAAGATGTTAGCATTGTGTAAAGTGTTTGGTTCGTCATTCATCGCGTACCCATTTCAGGAGCAAATAATTTGCATTTTTACGTGAATTTGTGAGTAGTTACTTGTAAGTGCATATCATGCAGCTTTGGTTTATTTTACTTGAATTAGTATTTCTCTTTTAGAAAGTTGAAAATTTTTCGGGCAGTCAGCCTGGTTGTGGCAACGTAATTTGTCTGTATCGAAATAAAGTGTGCAGAAAAGTGAATAAAACACCTTTGGAACAGTGGCGTATTTACGGGGGGGGGATGAAGGAAGGGGATATATCCCCCCCCCCCCAGAAGAATTGAGTTATCATCATAGCTATTAGGTATTTAGGTAATACTCCGCTATCCGCTCCGCCCACTTTAAAATAAAGGCAATAATAGGTATATATAGAGAGCAATTTTGGTTTTGGTTAAAGTCTAAAGTCACTAAAATCTAAATATTCTGTAGTATTCAGTATTCACTATTCAGTGAGTGATCAGCGTTGGCAGTCAACGATTTGGCTATTCGGCATCGATCGGCAATTCGCTACATTGATGCCCAAAATAACAAATAGGTATCAGGTACTTAGTACTGCTACTGAGAATTTTAAATTTTAAAAACAGGAATTTTTTTGCCCATAACTTTTGATTGAGACGTCTAATCGAAAAAGTACGAATCGTTTTGGATTCTACGCACCCAAATTAATAAGAAAAAGTTTTTTCCCGAGAAATTTTGGTGCAGTCGATTTTTGGGAAAAAAGGAAGGTTGTACACTGCCTTTTTTTTGCCCAGAAAAAAAAATTGTCTCAGATCGACCGGAAAAAAATATTTTCTTATACAATGTGGCCTGTAGAATCCATAATTCCAAACAGTTCCAAGATCGGACTACTAGATCAAAAGTTACAGCCCTTTGAATTGTTTGTCGAAATTGGTTTTTTGCCCATAAATATACCTATTATTCAAAGTTTTCGTTGACTAATTAAAGCAAAAGCAATAAAGGGGCCTGTCAGCAGTAAGAAATAAAATGCCGTTCTAATCTAATCTTTTTCGCCTGTACAATAATAAATAGATAAATGACTACCAGCATCAGCAACCTGCAACCCAATTTCTATTTCTTACCCCCCCCCCCGCGAACTTGTTTAATCCCCCCCTCCACCGAATACATTTCTACGTACGCCATTGCTTTTGAAGGGCATACCTACAGTCTAAACTTGCCTTAAGAAAGAAGAACGTTGTAGGGAGGGTTACATTTTACATCTGGATCGCCTTTTCCATATCGACCATTGAGAGGAAAAACCTTATCGGTTGAAAGGGGGAAAAACATCTTTCGCCCCTTTGTTAGCGACCTCCAAATGCCTTTTTTGTATCGCCCAGTGACTACCATCGATCGATAAAACGTAGGTTTTTTTGAAAGCGTTTTAAAGTGTACTCCGAAAGAATTTTCCGAAGTTCCCAGGGAACGGGGTACGCGAAAAAACGGGATTGCCCAAAGGCGGTGCGAAGTTCGCCGGGACTGCTAGTAAATAATAAAAACAAGATGAAAAATAAGGTTATTTAATATTTATCGTTTTGGCTTGGCTTCTATTCAAGACAGAGTGAAACATTTGGACACTTTTCTACAAAAGTAAAAATGAAAATCCAACCTTAATAGTATATTAAAGTACAAGTATCATAAGACAAGGTTTTACGGCACACGTTGGGTTTAAAAACAAGCGAAGGTATTTTAAAAGAAACAAGTGCGATAAAATAATAATAGTAATAATAGCCTTTATTCCCCATAGGTCTCATGTCAAAATTTCACATATCAAAATATAAAAAAAACCATTATAATTCTCCCCAGTGATTGAAAAACCTTTTCTTGTTGCAATAATGAGGGATGCGAAGGGGGATGTATCTATCAAACGGTCATCAACAAGTTTTCTACGACTTTCCAGCGCTGTAACTTCATCCCTTACCCGGACGGAAAAGCGTCCGAATTTTATTTTTTGAAAAACGCGTAAAAACCTCCAGAACTAATCCAGAGCCAGATTCAGTATTGGATAAGTGCCTTCTCGACGTTCCAGGACCTTACTAGAGCGAGAAATAGTAAAATAGGCTGACCGCAATTTTCCTGAAGCCAGACCATTGCAAAATTGCTTATTTCAACACAACTGCAGATATAAACTAGTTCATTATCACCTTGCGAAATAAAATATTGACATTTAGTTGCTAAATTAGGAAAACAAGTAACAAAATTTGCAATCAAAATTGAGGAAATCGTATTAAAAAAAGGAAAAAGTTAATGTGTTTCGTTCGTTTGACACCTTTGACTACAAATCACAAATCTTCTATGGTTTCCGAAATCCCCAAGATTAGACATCTTTATCTTGGATACAGTAAATTCAATGTACAGGGTGGCCAAATAAGAATGCGAGGCACTGTATCTGGGAACCTGTCCATCGTAGAGGCTTGCGGTAAAAAAATTATTAAAACGACCACGAGAAAAACCTGGAAAATATTTTTAAGTTTCTGCAATGGCCGCTAAGGGGGCGTAACTGCAATCTGGAATCTAAAAAAGTGATTTTTCTGTGAATTCCGCTATATTAACCTAACAAAAAAATGTTCGGTCTTTGAAGACGACGATAATCTGAACCTTTTTTTGTTTGACAATTTTCCCTGTATCTCTAAAAATGAAGTGGTGGGGGGTATTCAAAGGTTTCCGTAAAGAACGCCCTGTATATTCGAAACGGTTGAGCCGATTTTAACAAACTCGGGTTAATTGAAAAGAGTTATTCTTCGGCTACAAATATTATATTTGAAGTTTTGTTAGTTTCACATATCGCCGCTTGAGGGTTTTTTAAGACATTCCGACAGAAATGGTTAATTTTCTCAAAAAAATTAAATGCGTTGGTTTGATTTTTTCTTCATAAAAAAGTAGCTAAATGATGCCTAAACAAGCTCGCGAAAACCGCATCTCGATATCTTGTTCCTAACCTAAAATTTTAAAAAAAGAAAATTTTGTACCCTCAAAATTTTATTTTTTTAAGCTAATTTTTCCGAAATTATTTTTATTATTACCCTAAGGTGGATCGATTTAAAAAAGGGAGCTTTTAATGCCGCCGTAAATGCTCGAAATGATATCGAGATGCTGTTTTCGCGAACTTGTTTAGGCATCATTTAGCAACTTCTTCATGAAAAAAAAATCGGATCAATGCATTTAATTTTTTTGAGAAAATTAACCCTTTCTGTCGGAATGTCGAAAAAAGCCCTCAAGCGGTGATATGCGAAACTAACAAAACTTCAAATAGTATAACATTTGTAGGTGAAGAGTAGCTCTTTTGAACTAACCCGACTTTGTTTAAATCGGCTCATCCGTTGCGAAGATACAGGGTGTTCTTTACAGAAACCTTTGAATACCCCCTACCACTTCATTTTTAGAGATACAGGAAAAATTGTCAAACAAAAATTGTTCAGATTATCGTCAACTTCAAAGACCGGACATTTTTTTGTTAGGTTAATATAGCGGAATTCACAGAAACATCACTTCTTTAGATTCCAGATTGCAGTTACACCCCCTAGCGGCCATTTCAGAAACTTAAAAATATTTTACAGGTTTTGCTCGTGGCCATTTTAGTAATAAATTTTTTTACCGCAAGCCTCTACGATGGATAGATTCTCAGATACAGTACCTCGCATTCTTAATTGGCCACCCTGTACAATATTAGGAAGTACTATAAATTTTCACAGGTGGCACCAGAGAGGGCCCAAATAATTTGGGATGGGCATGTGCCTGCCCCAGGTCCACCCTTGGCTACGTGCTCAAGATTTCAGTCTCTTCAGCCAGACAGCAGATGAGTAAAGTTTAGGAATGGATTGGAATGAATTGATTTAGGATGCGGATGCCGACAGAGCCGGCCATCTGGATTCGAACCAGATCCTCCAGTCATTATATAAACGTGCGTGTGACAAGTTGCCTATAACGCACAACTTACTTACCTCTTCCTTGGGCCGATTAACGACTTTCTTCCCATTTTCCTGGTGACGTCTAAAGTAGCCTTTCGGAATTAAGTTTCTATTCAGCTGGAGATCCAAAACGTACTCCTTTCCTTCGGCATTATAACTAATGGTTAAGTGATGTAGATGTTTCCCGTCCTGAAAGATCAACTGTTAACAATAGCGAGGTCATCATCTTAACACCAAGTGATAATTCTAATCGAGAGACCGTTGCCACAAGTCAATGGCACTCTACGCCATAAATTAACAAAAAACAATCAACAACACATGTTTGCTCTTATCAAAAGTGCAGCAGCTGCGCTCATTACTATCGCACCCCTCTCTTACAAGTGGCGCAGGTTCACTTGAAGCGCCTTTTTTTTACCTCTTCTTTTGTAGTTGAAATTTGTCTTTTTTCTCTCCCATGATATATTCTTGGTTTGACAAGTGTATGTCTGCTGAAGTCGGGGGCAGGATGTGGTTCAGCTGTAACAAAAGAGAGAGAGACTTTTTATTTCCCATCGTTTACGTATTTATAGTGAAATTTTATGCTAAAAGCGATTATTTCTGTGCAGTTCTCCCCTGCAGAGATGCTAAATTTACGGCGCGTCTGCATTTTAAGTTATTTGGACGTTTGCCAAATTCGAAAATCGCACAATACTCGCCAGATAACTGTTGCTAAAGAGGAAGAGTAACAATGAACGTGATTTCTAAAACAATAACGGCGAAAATTGTAATTGTTTAAATGGATGTTGACCTCTCCTACATCTCGCGCACTTAGTAATTGGTATTGATGAGGTCATATATTTTTTAAAAGTACGTCTCTTGATTAGTAATGTACAGGCGTTTTGAGTGTAACATCCTGTACTTGCAAAAAAGCGGGCTTCCGTATGTGCGCTAAAAATAATTTCTACATTTCAACAGATGCATCTCGGCGTGTACTGAATAAAAATAAACAAAATTAATCGTTCGTTGCTTCCTAAAAGATTCTGTAAACAAATTACCGCAGGTGCTTTGGGGGGTTCGCTCACCGCAATAGAAATTATATTCAAAAAATTCATCTTTCCCACACACAAAAGACGACCTGGAAGGATATCCTGTCTTCCGCTGAATTTCTAATTGGCCTCTTACTCATTAAAATAACCGTGGACGCGCGGTGTATCGATTTAAATACACCCCGTCTACGCGGACAAAATCCCAGAAAGTAATACGGTGAGTCATCCATTACTGATAGGGTGCAGAATTATCACAGGAATTTGTTTGACGAAGTTTCACAAAACCAACGATAACGATTGTGGTATCAGAATCGGCTTGATTGTATAACCGTAAGTTTCACCCCAAATCTTGCCACAGTTGATAGATCTTCCATGAAACGGGGGAACCCTGAAAACGTTAAGATTAACAGTTATTATGATAATGTTAATAACGGTATTACTGAGATGTAATGGGTGATTATTCGATTGTAATCCCATGGGTCCCATAATCTATACAAATATATAATAAACTCCGAGATAAACTCATATCAATAAAGAAGCCACAAAGTGATCGATTGATGCAGGAAATTATTATTAACATTTCCAAAGCTTTGCATACTTCCAAAAAATGAAAAGTTTACCTAACGATCGAAATAAATTTCCTCGTAGAACAGGTCCTATGCCATGAATTTTCTACGCACTCAATTTACTGGGTGCTTTTTTTTTCAAACTTTCACTTTTTTCGTAAAAAAATGGAAATTTTTTGAAAAAACTTAAAAAACTGACAACAACTTGTTTCTTTAATCCCGTGTATGATTCAAAAATCAAGTTGGTTTTGATCTGCGTGGTAATTTTGGGTTCATGACCGAAAAGGAGTCAAAAATCCGCACGGCCCCTATACAAATTGGCAACTCCCTTACTCATTGAGATATCGCCTTGCGATTTTTTGTTGGGCAGAGGAAGTATGAGAGCGTGTAATGTAAAAATTTGGATCTGGCATTTTCGATTCCGAAGAAACCCTACCCCAAAGTTGAGGTTACTTTTCATAGGAACAGTAAGTCCCCGTAGGCTGTTATTTTTATACTAGACGCTTTCATCCCTCCTCTCTCGAACGGCAAGTTGATATCTAAAAAAATGAAGAAGGTAGGATCTCGGGTAGGATGTTCGTAAGGGGATAAGATCCCGAGGGGGTAACATGAGCAAAATGTTGTACGAAAGACTACCAGTTGCGAAAGACTACCACAGACTACCAGTGACTACAAGAGACTACCAATGAATACCAGAGACTTCTATATGAATACCAGTGACTACCACATGAATACCACAGACTACCAATGAATACCAGAGACTACCACATGAATACCAGTGAGTACTCAAGACTACCACACAGGTGGCAGCGAGATAAGGAGTTGTACCTGGACTGCGACCGGTGTTGGGTAACATCCTTTAATTCTAGATCTAGATACACCTCCAGATGCATTTAAAAATCATGATCTAGATCCAGATCAAAGATCCGCACCTAGATAGACTAGAGATAGCGAAAAAGTCCTTCTTTGAAAATTATAATAACCGCCTACATCTGAATTACTACTTAAGGCAAAGTGGTGTGCGTACCTACATAACAATAACGTGTTTTTCGGATAATTCGGGTAAACCGGCGGCGGCATGCCCATGAATCAGTTGTACAGGGTGAATTGAGGGGTGAGTCAACGATTGCGCGGAGTAACTTAATGCTCTGAAGATAAGATTTTTCCGAGGATTTTTCGATAGAATACTTTTGCATTATGATATGGTTGAATATTCTCCACATCTTAAAAATATTTGGAATTATACAGGGTGCACCCACAAAGTAGGGCGCCCAAATGGTACATTTTTAGCGCATTTTTGAAAAAAATACGCTATTATATTCGTTATGGCTGGCAGGCGGGCTGTCCGCGTGAGATCTCCACAACTACAATAGCTAGAGAATTCAAATTTTCACTAAAAGCTTTCTGCTATAGTGTAGATGTGCAGGCACTAGTCTATTTTGAGTTAGATTACTTGTGAGATCGATAATTGAAGAAAATAATTTCGATATGGGTTTCGTAGGTGCTATAATTTTACCGTTAGATAGCGCTACCAGTATAAAAACTTATTATTTACTCTGTGATTTGTTTTACAAAATGAAGACGTACCCTCAATTGAAATTAAATAAAATTAATTATTTAACGCAGCCAAAATTACTCCTGAGATCGATAATTTTAAACTTCGCTAATAAAATACTGACCTGCATTACCAAAAATGCGCTTTAATCATGCATATGCTGATTTACAACTTGTTTTAAATAGAATCCCCTGTATTTGAATGCATTTTTTTTGGAGGACCTAAATGATGACAGAAAAATATACAGGGTGTTCCATTTAAAAAAGTGAGATTTTTTTAATATGAAGTTTTGCAACTTTGGACTTACCAAAAAAACATCCTGTAAGTTGTATTTTTAATGTTTCATAGTAGATGTATTTATTTGACTTTTACTTAACCCAACATAAGATATAAAACCTGGAATCAAAATTTAAGTAATAATTTTGACAATATACTGACGCTTGCAAATGCCCAATTTTTCTTAAAAATCGAATTATCTTTAAGACCACTAGCTTTTCGGATATTAACCATATAATAAAAAAGACACGTAGAATTCAAAAATGCAGGGGATTCTATTAAAAAAAATGTACCATTTGGGGGCCCTACTTTGTGGGTGCACCCTGTATAATTCAAAATATTTTTAAAATGTGGAGAATATTCAACCATATCATAATGCAAAAGTATTCTATCGAAAAATCTGATCTTCAAGGCTTAATGCCTCCGCGCAATCGTTGACTCACCCTGTACTGTAAATAATTACCGATACTACCCCCTAAGCTAAACTACCCGTTATGCTAATGACTATTGACTTTCTGCTTAAACCTGTTTACTCTTAAAAGGCTGGTAAATCCCTAAAACTTGAATGGATCATATTTATTCTTTAAACATAGAAACGATTTACTCTGCCAATGTTAAAAACATTTATAACATAAATAAATTAAAATTGATCTTTGGATCTACTAGTGGAAAATCTATTATAATATAATCTAGATCTAGATACAAGATCATCTTCTAAAAAGGGTCTAGATCCAGATCTAAGATATATGTGATTATCATGGAAACCTTGGCCTCGACCTTGGCCTGTTTTTAAACACACAAGACAAATACATTATTACTGATTGAATCGCTACCATCTTTAAAACAGAATCGTCACCTTCAATCACCAGCACTGCAACAATCAATTCAATTAATTTAAAAAGTATGCGATTTGATAGACAAAATCATAAAAACCATAGTTTATGCCGGAAATACCTACCTACAAGCCAAAATGGAAAATAATAAAAAAGTTAGTAAATGCTCATAGGAATACCAAAGACTACCACTGACTACCATCGGAATACCAGAGATTACCATTGACTACCACGGGAATGCCAGAGAATACCACTGATTACCTTCGGAATACCAGTGACTACCACAGACTTCCATAGACTACCACAGGAATACCAGAGACTATCACGGGAATACCAGTGACTATACCAGTCATGTGTACGAAAGAATACCACACCGACTAACCCCTCGTAAGATCCTGTTTTGAATTCTTTGGGCCCTCGGGCTGTACTCGATGTCATATTTTGATTCTATCCACTCAATTTTCATATGTAATTTTCATGCGATTCTGAGAACATTTCCAAATTGGAGAAAAACCCGATTCTTTATTAAATAGGGTGCGTGGAATCAAAAAATGATCTCAGTTTTCAACTGCGGGACCATTTCGGGTTCTTAAAGGCCGTAACATGGCCAAAAAACCGACAAGACCCCAATAAAAATTGTATTTATTTATTTTATTTGAGATAATTGACATAGAAAATAAACATAAGAAACAATAACGTAAAGATTGTTTAATTTTTAGACTAATTCACAAACCTCAACTTACTTGGCGTTTTTATTCCGTAGCTAATATGGATGTGTCGGTCCGTCTGTCTGTAAATACTTAAACTATGCAAGTCAGACGATTTGTCACAAAAGGACTAATTCAGTTTTACATCAGTTTTGTTTTTGGCATGAAGTACTCCACTTCTAATGATTTGCCCAACCACATTGCCGATTAAGTGGAAGAGCAGTCATTGAAAAACTGCTCAGATAGATACGAGGATAGATACTTATCCTCCTTTTTTTAAACGAAATGGTAAAACACGGGTCTCCTTTGCTATTTTTAGATAACACGAGCGTTTTTTGTGTTTTGAAGGGTACGTTGAGAAGAGCTGAATCAGACATCTGTAATTTCTTCAAGTCTTCTGGAGCGGGAACTCGTTTAATTACTCAACAAACATAAAATTAGTAACGCTCGAATTGTCTGCGCCGAAAAGCGTAAGTTGACCCACGAGGTCGACGCATCTCCTCGTAATACAATTACTTCATTATGCCTCCACGATTGAAAAAAATCGTGTAATTACATAATCCCCATAAATCGGTCGATCGCTTTCACGTCTCTCGAATTAATTTCTCGTTGAACCGTTAATTGCGTTAATTGCAGAAGTTAACTGAAAGGTCACTTACATACAGTAATTACACCTCGCGACCCTTTTCATACACATTTTACTACCGCAGTTGGGGTCGGTAACGGTTAAACAAACAGCGGCGATAATAAAACAATGGCCCATAACGCCAAGAGGTTTTCTTTCAAATGTAATCGGAGTCGGTTCCGATTTGGATGTCGTAACGGAAGTGTAAAAATAGACATTAGGACCGAAATAGAAAATGAGATTGTGTTAGTTTAACAAAATTTACCAGATTTGAATAATTCAAAACGAACCCGCGCCCTTTTCGAAATGGCCGCTCGGTGCCAAATGCATTGTTTGTTTATATTTCACTTATTCCGCATAACTTTCGGTTGTGAAACCTGCGTAATTTAGTTCAGGTCTATTAATGTACATAATTTTTTTAATAAGTTACTTGCCGCGTTTTCTTGTACAACTTTCGTTTTTTTCTCTTCGTCCTAAATTTCAACATTTTTGTTCCACAATTAAAAACGCAAGGAAAAAAAGTATAAAGGTATAGGCATTTTTCAGTAACTTCAAGGATCAAAATTAAAAATGTACAATAAACACGCGAACATTTGCATATGAATGGATGAATCCTATTTAGGGGTGTTTTGATACCAATTATATCACATGGGGCACATAATCCCTTAAAGAACGCCATTTATACACATTTTTTCATTCTGCCCTGAAGAAAAGTCACAAATGTTTCGTTTGACAATTAAGTTGTCCGTCTGTCCGTTTTATAATCCAGTCTGAAATGTAAATAAAACGGACACACCTCGAATAGGGAAAGTTAATCCCGATACGGCGATTAAACATTAATTAATCTTCATTCTTGCGTAAGCCCCATTTTTTGTGCATCGCCGCCGAAAAGTGGCAATATGGTATCTATTGACCAACCCTTAATTGAGGTCAAGTACCCCTATTCCTCGAACGTCGTCGTCGTCGCGTCGCCGCCACTCCACGCGGTCGTCGCGTCAGAGACCTCTTTGTTTGGTGATTCATTAAATACATTTAATAAGTATCGTGGCCTACTGATTCATGGCGTGCGATCGCGTGGGCGTAACAAACCACAATCGGAAATGCGTGAAAAATGCAATTCGTCTGGGGGCCATTTTTCATATTTTTTTCATCGTGGCAGCCACGCGCTTAAAATTAAGCGATACGTACTCTTTTGTTTATTGTTTCGTGCCCGATAAAACGATTATTGAAATCGCAAATTAAAGCGAATAAGGTCACGTTTTACCGACGCGTTGTCGCCTTAATAGCACTTACAACTTATTTGGGAGGTTTAATTAAGATATATGGTTATAAACCCACAGGCTTCTCCTACGTCTCTCTCGAAAAGCAAAAGTCGCAGAAAGGATGTACGCGATTGCAACAAACAGCTTGTTGCGTAGCGTTCAATAACCTTGTTTTATAAGGAAAATTGCAAAAATGTCGTCAATGTCGTCGCAAACAATCAATAAAGGACGAGCGTTTCGATCAATTGAAATTAGGCACCTCCTAAGACTGCCAATTGATATCCTAGACGCTAAAAAACAACTTCGATTGTTCATGAACGGCTCACTCTGATCGTTAAATCTAAATTGATCAATTTCAGGTAATTTTTTCAAGAAAGATACAAGAAATACACGTCGGTGTCGTCTAACTAATTGACGATTTGTACTTTTTTTAATTCAAGAAGTCCCATCAAGTTGATACAAAGATGTGCTTTTTGATTTTGTTAAAATTGTGATCAATGCACTTTTTTTAATTTCAAAAAATAATCACGGAAATCAAACTTTTGTTCCTCCCTCCGTTCAGAGATGGCAACATCTTATTTCACATTCTCCAAAAAAAAATAGGCTGGTCGTCTTTACAAATTTTACTCGAAATAAAGGTACAATTAAATTTAAAAAATCTGATAATATCAAAAGAAATTTAATTACTCACTTTTGATTTAAAAAAATATACAATTTTCATCAACGCTGGTCCAAGGGGATGGTTACTACTTATTCTAGGGCACCAAGATTTCCTTCATTGCCCTAAACGTTGCTACCATTTCCCTCAATTTCCCCAACATTTATAGGATTGCCTTAAATTTCCCTAAATTTACACAAAATTTCTACAAATTAAGATGAAATGAGTAACGCTACTTCCCTATAAAAATTTCCCCGAAATTTCCCATATGAGGGATAAGAACTTCCTTCGCCCCTGGGAGACTGGCTACAGTATTTAAATGAATAACTCCCATTTAAATTTAAAAAAAAATCGACTATTTTGATTTAAAAATACGATTTTCATCCACATTGGTCGCTCATGTAAACTCATCGAGATTCTGGATTATTGCAAAATTCGAGGTAAAATTGTAAAAATCATTACCCGCGGGAATATGGAGAATTTTAAGTCGGACACTCGGTCGGACGTAAGCAGAACGTTAATTTATTATTCATTAGTCTCGTCATTAGTCATTTTAAATTTAAAAAACCAGCAAATAATGCAGCAGGTAATTGCCTATTGAAATCTAAATTTGTCACCATGTGTTTTTTATTGTTAGTCGCAAGTCAGTAGCAAACAATGAGCAATTGAACCTTCGCAAGGCCTCAGTACTTTAAACTGAAATTTTGCAAATACAGATGATTCACACTAACATTAAGATAATGGCAAAAGTTGACAATTATCTCTTGCAATTGACACATAAATTTAAATAAAACTCGACAGGAAATTCAAAATAAATGATTCACTCTTTCCCAGAATCTTTCAAAACAAAATCAGATCGTCAAGGACCTCTTTGACGGCAGATGGAAAGTGCAGGCAACCTGACTTTGCCGCAGGCAACTGTTTGTCAGCTGTAATCCGTTAAGACAATGGATGGTCCCGCTATAATCGGTTTTCAATTATTTACAATGAAAATTGGTATCCTTACGCACGACCCAATTTATGTCGCAATTAATTTTCCTTTTAATTAATTCTATGAAACACAACAGCAGGAGACGGCCCTGATTTAATCCACTTACAAGCGCTTCTACCTACAAGGCTGTTTTATTTCTTCCGTGTACTACAAAAAAAATGTAATGGAAATGCTTGAAATTTCATTAGGAAGACGGCGGCGCCCCGCTTGCGGTCGAGGCACCAAAATAGACTTCACACGCATACGCAACCCTTTCGCATTAAAACCAGACGGCTAGATGCATTTAATTAAAACCCCTCTCGCCGCCAGCCCCGATTAATCAAGAGAAACAAATGCAGTCTGATCGCATATAAGGGTACTCACCCTTTGTTACAGGTAGATGAAAATCCGCGCGATGAATAAATACAAAGAGCAGCAGTAATCCCAGAGTGCGCCTACAGAAAACATCCGCCATTTCACCGATATTTTCACCACTAACACTACATACTCAAAAATGAGGCCGTTCGGCCAACTAATTTTAAAATAACATTAACAAATGAAGACTTCCCTCAAACTGTCATCGGCAGTACGCACGTCGTACTGGTACGATTGCCGTTTCAACACAACAAAAAAAACCAGTAACACAACTGTAGAACTTTCGCAACGCCATCCCGCGGTTAGTTACGTTATTACGTAAAACCCAGCCTACTTTAACACAGAGGTGTTAAAGTGGTTGCCTAACGCTGAGGCGGAATCCTTGGGGCATATTGATTGTAGTACCTACATTCTAGCACCGATATACACAAAGAATGTATACTGTAATTCTAGCTTCATCTCCACCCCCTTAAGATGGCCCGTATACTTCCCGTGTATTCCTCTGCACACTCCCCTACACAGAGGGTTTACTGTGTGCAAGTTTCTTTACAATTCACTATCAATAGGTATAAATCAAATCATTTCTATTGAGTTTCAGCAGATCTTCAGGGTAGTTGGTGGGCTATTTCGTCGGATACCAATCTAGCACCAAAAGTCAGAGTTCACCTCTTGCGCCTGCAACGTTTCTGTTGCTATCTGTCATCTATAAGGCATTTTTAACTTTTCTCAAATTCTGCTGATATTTTCCTCAAACTTCTCTTACATTCTTCTCAAGTTTTTAAATTCCTTTCATATTTCCCTTAAATAATATCAATATGTCTCCCAAATTTCCTTGCTTCTTTCTTTCCACCTCCTCATCAAATTCTGCACATAGAACTATGCAACTTTACTTAGGGCTACAATTTCTTGAGATTTCTTTATAAAATTTCGATTTTTAAATGCAAAAAAAAACAGTGCCGGTTTAAGTATACTATCAGAGGGACGATGCTACAACCGTCTCTCCTTTGGAAAGCAGGATATGAGAAAAATGTATGGAAGCTAAAGGGGCGCCGACTTTTTCCGCCGATTGATCGCTTTTTACGATATCTAAAGCGAGAGTGGGCGATTTCTACCCCCAAAACTCAGAATCTATTGAGCACTTGACTTATGCGTTGGGAAACTGATGCAATTTGGCTATTACACAATTATAATTTAATACTCCTGTGGTTTCCTCTGTTCCCAAACTGCCCACAATCATACCGCAGATAACATTTTTATATCTAACCTGTGAGTAATGATACGCAGTTGTCTAAAAATTTTCGAGGAACATTAAATATTTGCAACTAACGCAATTGTCACAATTTTCCGATATGTAGAAAGTAAATATACACGATGCGTTCTGGAATACCAAACCACACTGACGACATGCACTACAAAAATCGAGTTCAATTCCACAATTTTTTGGATTAGGTTCGGTAGTACATCTTCATTGAATGGACAAACTATAGTCATTGTTTAAAGTAGGTATTTAAACAATGCTATAGTCATGATATTTGTTTCTAAAGCACATGTCTCAATTTTACCATTGTGTAAGTAATTACTTGTTCAACGATTTTACACAAAATTTGGTATAATTATCTACATTTGAAATATGTATTCCCTTTCAAACTGCCCTGTATACTCTAAAAATTCTGCCCTGTTATAATTCCACACCACCTGGTGAAAATATTTGTAAATTGTCATCAAGAATCTTTTAAAATCTTATTCAAAAAGTAATAAATACAAAAATTTAAATAAATAACTTAATGATGAGAATCTGTACAATGTTACGAAATTACACATATAAAAAAATTAAATCAAAATTACAAAATGATCCTAAAGCTAAGACTTTATAGTTGCATAGGAGTGTGTAAAATATATAAGTTAGGAACATCAACAAAAACCCTGGAAAGAAAATGACTTACAGTTTGCAGACAAACGAGTAATAATAAAGCTATAGTCACCTGTACAACTTATTCCAACTATCACACTTAATATATTTCAAAACTTCTCAATAAAAGTGGTGTTATACAAAATTAAAAATACGTGTCCGCGCTAGCTTTACTACGGAAGCGTAGGATGGCCTTTTTTACACATTTATCTGGGCAAAATTAATCTAACGCTTCCGTACTTATCGAAAAATTAACTCGCAGAATTACATTCTAACATCTACAGACTACAACAGCTATTTTATAACACTCTTAGGATCACTTTTGCTTCTACTTCTAATAGGAAACTTATTTTGACTATAAGAAAGATTCAGCGAATCGAGCGTTTTTATTTTCGGCTGCACTTCGGCGCTTTGCCTACTCGACGAATTCTCGCCGGAGAGCAGATTCTCGACGCTGCTGAAATTCTCCTCCTTCACGCTGCTCAACGGCGGACTGCGCGGCTCGACGCGAATCGGCGAGAGAAACTCATCGTTGATGTTGAAACCGTAGGTCGTCTGTCGTCTCGTCGACAGCTCCGCCTTCCTCTGTTCCGCCGCCAGATTTAAATACAGCGCTTTGTCGGCGCTCGAGTCCGAATTCGGCACGAGGGTGCTGTCCAGGTCGGGCGAGGTTTTCGTTTCGGATAGCATTTTGGTCGGTTCGATGTTTAGGTTTCGGTAGTTGATGTCTAAGAAGAGCTCTTGGAGGAGGCGGCGCGGTCCCAGCCGATATGTGTTCTCGGAGACCATCTTGCACACTTCGGAGTAGAGGCAGGCGTCGTGGAAGAGTTGCGGGTTCTGCTGCTTGTAGTGCAAGAGAGCTTGTCTTGCCTGTTTGATCCATACTGGGTTTGAGAGTCGCTCAACTTGTTTTAATACTTCATTTTTTAGATCTGAAAGAAAAATAGTGAATCTCTTGCAAGACTGTCTCACTGATTTACCGCTCAATTCAACGTCCACCTCTGAATTTGATACATTATTAGTGTTATCTAAAAGAAAGGCATCTTGTACATAATTAATACTTTTCATGTCACCTTAGACATAAACCAGTCTTGCTCCAAGATACATATAACATGTAACTTGATTTTTGTCTCAGGGTTTCTAAACCTACATTCAAGTAAAAAGAACGATTTTTGCAAGATTGAATTCAGGTGGGGCACTTGGATGAGAGTAGTCATTTAAGGTCGAACCTGGACCAATTTAAAGTCGCTCGCCCCCTTGCGGTGACCTTGGAAAGTAGGCGAAGGGCACATACAGGAAACTGACATTGAAAACCGATCGCAAATTACAGCGCCAGGACGTTGCGGTAGGAAGTCTCAACAGCAAGCTGTCATACTTGATTTTGTGATAGTTATTGTCATGGATAAATTGATTATCTTGAGGTATTTAGGAATATCACATATCTTAGATATTAAATATCCTTGCTTATATAATTAATTTGCTCCTTAATTTTTCGCCATTCCACACCGGGTCGTGTAGATGGCGCTCTTTCCGGTGTTTCGCGTTACGCAAATGCAAATAGTAGCGAGTTTCCTGTATTAATATATTAAGGGCACGTGCCACGTGGCAGTGACCTTGGAAGTCAATTCCATGTACAATTCCATAAAGATAAATTCTTTGAACTTTGAATGACAAGCAACCTTTAGACTTTGAACGGTGAGCAACCTTTGAACTTTGAACAAGGTCATTATTTGAAGGGTGAATATCCCACCCATTTTCTTTGTCTCGTTTTCCCAAATAACCACGTGGCACACTGTCCTAGAGGGAATATGCTTAGGGGTCGATGATCGCACGAAACTGTGTGATTAACCTTGACCTACTCTTCAAGGTCACCGTCAAGTGCCGACCGACCGACCGACATTTTAACTTCACCTTGACTTACGTCTCACCGCAAAAAATAGGGTCGTTGACCGTTGATAACCTTGAAAGTGGCGAGCAACATTGAATTGGTTCAGGTTCTGCCTTATATTGTTTCTCGGGGGTTAATGGAGAGGGATTTTTATCCGGGGGGATTTTGGTCTGAGGTTATTGCCCTGTACCGATTATAACTAATGTATTCAGGCAAAACACAATGCCAGATGGGATTTGATGTTAGATTGCCGCTGCTAGATAAGAACCAGCGACAGGAGAAGGCTGCCTACTTACCATTCTTGGTTTTTCTTTGTTTAATTCTTGAGCAACTTAAGCAGGTATCCTTATCGTGCCTAAATCGATTCCTTTTTATTTTGATTTCTTCGCCGCCTTCGATTAGGCCGGAATCTAAAAGATCTATTAAAGCATTTCGATGAACACCCCTCGCAGTTTACTCAACGCACCGTTCTTTCCTGTAAACGATAAGCGACGCGCGATTATTTGATTATCGGGAAAGAGACCTATCAGCGCGCGCGGCAGGCAGATCCCCATGTAGCACTGTCCCTTATTCTGCTCGTCCTTTATCGAGAACTTCTGCACGCTTGACAGTGAACTCAGACTCATGCTGTCCAAATAGTTGTTTCGGATACTTTTCACGCGATAATCGGACAAACTACGACAAACGTAAGGATTGCCAAATTGCGATTGTTATTGCTCACCTGGTCTCCGGCGCGTGGTCCACGTTTTTGTTTGTGAGTAAACTTTCAGGTGCGAACACATCGGAGAAATCATCTTCAACTTGCATGTGAGTAATTCGCGACGAACGTAGGGAACGAAGTATTGTGTAGCCGACCATATCTTGATGGCTTAGTTTTCCACTGATACTGCCTGCCGGTGAAATCGTCGACCTTTCCGACGGGGTTGTACCTAGATAACAGATCACAGGTAAGATAAAGTGGTGGATAAAATATGAAATACGCCCCGGCAAAGGAAAGATTAGGGACATCTGGAAAGAATTGCGTTGTGTTTATCTCACTTCAATCCGGTCTTGCGATAAGAAGTTCGTTATCGCTTCGTAAAAACTAATTAATTTGAAGATAAACAGGTGTAAGTCGCAGTAAATACAGGTGTTAGTTTATGGAACACGAGCGGGGATGCCGGTGTGTCATCCCTTGACAAATTTTAAAAAAGTTAATATTAAAAACGCAGTTTTAACGCTCCAAATTGGTAAAAAACGTGTCTCTCGTAAAACGTTATGCCCTGAGCACTCTCGTGATATTTAAAAAAGGGCCTCAAATCTTCCTTTCCTGACAAGTACGCCATACCCCCCATGACACTGACTCAAACACACTTGAACAATAGTCACTTCACTTACTTTGTACGGATATTCTTCGAGTGGATTCGGAATGGCGACGCATTCGAACAGCTGACGTCTTTAAGGTACTTAGGCTGGAAGAACTGGGTATCGGGCTGAGTGTATGAAATCGTTCGCTAAAATTAAAGAGTTTACTCTGCGCGAAAAAACTCGTCAACGACGTACTTCTGGCCGATTTTTCCCAGGACAGATTCGCACGAGCTGACGCCGGACGTCGTCGATTCGGTAATCGAATTATCGCGATACCGATGCGGCACGTCTGAACCTACTTTAAATTCAACCTTATCATTCGGCTTTCTCTCGACGATTTTTAATGCGTCAAATGTTTTTGATTCTGAGAGTGATCGTTTGTGCTGAATCGCGGATGGATTTTGATTGCTCGGAAGCGTAGATGATTTTTGATGATGATTTAAACCGAAAACTATCAAGATATTATAATGAAGCAACAGATGGCGGTCGCGAGGCTTACCACGATCGACGGGCATCAAAAAGTCTTCGTCCGTCGTGGTGCTATCGGCGTCGGGGAGGTTAACGCTGTACTCGCCCATGAAAGCGTTATCGCTCGACGTGTGCTCGGAGTCGGAACCTAAAGGTAAATTGAACAGCTGTTCGTCTTGCACCTCCTCCTGCCAATTCTCTTCCTCTATGACCGGCCAGCGATTGTGACGGTCGTGTCTTGTACACACCCACCCTGCAATTAGCGTACTTTGGGTTTCAGCGACCAGGACGCGTAGGCTTACCTAGCTTGAATAAGTAATCGGCGCCTGCGCGGTTTGTGGCCACTAGCGATAAGGCAAAGAAGGCGGTGGCCCTAATTGAGTAGACAACGCAGTGTTGCACCAGTCTTATTATGGAAGCTAGGATTCCCTTGCTGTTCAGTAATTCGGTCCCCTTCAACGAACTACCCAAATGACCTAAACTCCACAACGCCACCTTTAACTTTAGGATGTCGTCGTCAGTCTCGCACAAACCGTTGTCGATCCACTAGAATATTTTCAATACAAATATACGTCCATGAACTGGGGAGGACAAGTATGAGCTCAGTGTTTTATTACTGTTTATAATTTTTGAGTTCTTGTGGTTATTTCAAAAATTCAATTCAAATGTCTCTTGCTGAATAGCAATACCGAATGCAAGGTGCCACAAACAAACCCCGCCCAATGAAAAATAAAGGCCAAATAAATAAATAAAGACGCATCACTTTGAGAAAGTTGAATTTACTGATACAGGGTGTTCCCAATGAAATGGCAAACTGCCTATTTTTCCTAAATGGAAATGTTATTTCTCTATTCGATACTGTTTTATGTTCTCTTCAATTTTTAAGGTTATTTTTCACACAAAAATACCTACCCATTTAATTACATGTTTATGCATCAGAGTAGGTCATGATAATAAAAAATAAAAGAATACAGGAAAGAAAACAATGGCACATTTTTACAAGGTATGAGCTAGAAAATACCGACAAACTGTCTGCATACTACTTAAAACAACTCCCCCATCGTTAATTTGTAGGCGGCGGATTGAACTACAGCAAAGGGACCTTTAAATTAGATTTGTGTAACCACAACGCTCATAAATTGGGAATGGTGCTACAACATTGACTTATGAACTAACTATAAGAACTCGAAAATTGCAAACGGTATCGTTGAACAATTTTTGAACTATATTAGGCGACATCAAGAGCTTATACAAGTCAATTCCATCCTAGTATATCTTAAGGTTGCTGAGAAAAAAATTCAGGAAGAAACTCAAATGCTGGGACTTTTAGAGCCCCACTTCCAAAGGAAAAAATTGGGACCCCCTCTACCGCCAATATTTTTTACATATTTAATTGTTTCATCTTGTATATGCTCACTTTTGTTTTTCATTGTTTATTTCACATGCATTTTTTAAAACCTGCGTGTCTTAGAAACTGTGAAAGACATTGATTGTGGATACAAGGGCCCCAGGCAGTGGCGTACCTAGGTATTTTCCGAAGCGGTGCCGGATCAGGTTTTGGCGCCTTATTGGTTACGATTGAGCTCTAAGTACATTTTTGAGAGAAACTTTACACGAAATTTTAAAAGCAAATTTTAGAACAATGCTTTGAATAACGAAGTCTTTCACTCAACGAAGAATAGAAATACATTTATTTATCATGTTTTCAATTCTCGCGTCAAAGTTAGCTATGACATAGGGTACAAATCGTAGAAATGATTGCGTCTTAGAATAAGGGTGCAAATGCTGGTCACACTAACACAGACTATTGTATAGATCACAAATAAAGTATTATTATTATTAGTTTAAATTTGCAGCCTTTTCCTACCGCTGTAACTTTGTTCTACAAGGGCCATTCAGAAAGCAACAGACGTTTTGAAATAAAAAATTAAGAAAGTGTAAGAAGATTATATACGCTCTTAGGCTGTTTTTCAACATAGTCGCCATTCACATTGAGGCACTTAACATAGCGTGGTACAAGTGTTTTGATTAAAACTTTGTACACATCCGCCGACTGTCGGGGCGTCAGAAGTGGGTACCGACAAAGGGAATATGGTAGCCCCCAACAAGATCTTATCGATTGTGGAGTCAAAACTGGCTAATAAAAGTACTGATCTGCCACACAAAAATGCCTTGGATCTCACACGGTGACTTTGATAATTTTTTAACAATGTTCCCTTCATCCTAAAGGAGCGTAAATTTAGTTTTCATTATATTTCAGCGCACCCTGTAGTCGACTTCAACAAACTATTAGAATTTAACTGCCGTTCTTGTTTTTTATGACTGACCTATACGGTACACCACGTACTGCCCATCTTGACTTAGTGCCCTCGGCACTTCAGCGCCTCTGGCGCGCCCTCCCGCCTTCAGAGCGCGGTGCCGCGGCATCTTTGGCACCTACCTAGTTACGCCACTGGCCCCGGGTTCGAATCCCAGGTGATGCATGGCTGTATGTGATTGTGAGTGGGCGGAGTAGCTTCATCTAATACTCCGCCCATTATAAAATAAATTTCTACACTATCAATAAAAACAAAAGATGAAAGTTGTATGTCAGGACCCTCAAAATGGCAAACCGAATGGGTAGATTGGTTTGTTGGTTTTTTTTATCTGTTTTAGTGTTTCCGAGAGTCTTCTACAAATTTTTTAATCTGTCAAAAGGAATGCCCTTGAGTCTCCAGGTTGAATAAAATTATGAAATGATTTAGATCAGCGGTTCCCAACCTGTGGTGTATGTACAGGGTGGCCAAATAAGAATGCGAGGTACTGTATCTGGGAACTTGTCCATCATAGAGGCTTGCGGTAAAAAAATTTATTACTAAAACGGCCACGAGAAAAACCTGGAAAATATTTTTAAGTTACTGCAATGGCCGCTAGGTGGCGTAACTGCAATCTGGAATCTAAACATCACAATATCCGGTCTTTGAAGTTGACGATAATCTGAACCTTTGTTGTTTGACAATTTTTCCTGTAACTCTAAAAAATGAAGTGGTGGGGAGTATTCAAAGGTTTCCGTAAAGAACACCCTGTATCTTCGAAACGACTGAGCCGATTTTAACAAACTCGGGTTAATTGAAAAGAGTTATTCTTCGGCTACAAATATTATAATATTTGAAGTTTTATTAGTTTCACATATCGCCGCTTGAGGGCTTTTTTCGACATTCCGACAGAAATGGTTGATTTTCTCAAAAAAATTAAATGCGTTGGTTTGATTTATAATTATAAAATGGATTTTGGGGTTGAGAACCGCTGGTTTAAATCATTTCGTTTTAATAAGAGTGAATTAAACCGCACCAGTCAGTTTTAAAAATTACCGAGACTTACAATCGATACGATTTACATATTTTTCCATGTCTTATTTGAATTTGAATAATAAAATTGAAAGTACACACCTGCACGTATTTATCCACAGATCCGCACTCCAACAGAATCGCAAACCCCTCCGCGTGCCTCGTCAGCTGTCCGTAAATGTGCGGCGGTAAGAATAGGTCCTTGCGACTCGTCACCTTCAACGAGCTCAGCCTCTTGTCGTACCTCCCGTCCTCGCCGCGCTGGTGCAACGTCAGCGTGTCCGAGATTTCGTTCTCGACGATGTGCACGTACCTGTAATTGACGAATTCGTCCCACCTTCGTATCTCGTTACTGATAAAGCCGTTCTTCTTGAGCTTGTTGAAGCCGTTCGGCGACGACAAGAATCGAATTAGAAGCAGCACGCCCTTTTCGCCGAGGTGCAGTAGGTCCGGATGAATTTTGATTAGCTGTTCGAGGTAGTTCGGTACCTCGCACGCCTCGTGCAAGGCGGCGAGGGTGGTGAGGCGTACGGTGCGCGATTTGTCCTCCAACTGTGCGGTGAGTAACTTTATTCCCCAATTGTGGAACTGTGGCAGGCCTGCCCGAAGTAGTACTTGCAAGATCTGGGTGGCGTACAGTCGGGAGCTCTCGACGGAACACTTCAAGACGGACGCGAAGAGATCGCGCGCGTGGCCCGGCTCCTCGTAGCTTAAAGATGACACGATCAGTTTGACATAGCAATCGTGCTTTGAGGTGGTCGCTAGATGGCGCAATTGTTCGAAAATTTTCACGCTTAGGAGTACGCTCGTTCCAATTTTGGTGGTGGCGAAACGCCCGATGAACAAGAAGTACGTTTGACATTGCGTGTTCGACATGTGCTGCGGGCTGAAGAGGCAATCGTGGGCGCTCTTGCTAGTCGTTATCGCCTTAATGTGATTCGAGATGTCCGTAAATAAGTCGATGAGCAATTTGGTAGCGTCGGGATCTTCTAACCGCGCGAGGCAGTGGATTAGTTCGATTCCGACGAGGGTGTAACCCTGCGTGTTTTTGGAGGAGGTTAGGTCCATGTGAGAGTAACGGTTATTCGAAGGCAAATAGAACTCGACTAATCGCTTTAAAAACGTTAAATGAGTAGATTCGGCTAAATTGAGTTTCAGGTCGCTTTTGCCTTTGAGAATAATTTTTATAATACTCCAGTTCCACGTGAAAGCGTCTTTACTTAGTAATACGCCGGTGTCTTTTACTATATCGTCGCTCTCTTTGAGTACCAGCTAAAATGCAAGATTGAGTTAGTTAAGATGCCAAACACCATAAGCAAAAAAGAAAGGATTTTTTGAATGAAGGAAATGTACCCAAACTAAAAATCCATTTAATAACTGATGTACATTTTAAGAAACCATTTTCACTTAAAATTTCAGAAAAAAACCGCTCATAAATATGAAAGTTGGGTCTGCGCATGTGCAATTAGCCATTCAAATACGAGTATTAACCGGAAGTTATTATTACGTGCGGCCCAAGATATTTACGAGAGAACGTATCATAAAAAATTGTTGAATATCGCAAATTAATTAGAATGATTAATTTAATAAGATGGCTAAATTTCGCTATTGTCCCAGTATAACAAACATATGGATTGCGAAACAGAACGATAATAAATAGCGAGTTATAACAAAAGTTTTGAAGCAAGCATTTTTGCCTAGAAAAGATATTAGTTTCAGCGGATGATTTATTGGGGTTTAACTGCACCTGCATAAGTGAGACGAATGGGTCGTAGTGATACTTTCTTTTGTGAGCTGCGGAAAACTTTGTGACTACCAGTTCTGTAATGTTATATTTGAATGTCACTTAATTAATTTATACAGGGTGGTGACTTGCGTAACGCATCATAGGGATTTCAATGTAAAATTCATAACATGCGATTATTGGCTCCCCAAATTACTTTAGAGCACAAATGTATTCAGGTTTTTTGTAGAAAAAACTTTTCACGTCAATCAACCGTATTAGTTTTCAATTTTGTGCATAATAAAGACGGAATAAGACGGAAAATAAAACCCCCATCTTTTTTAATAATCTGTGATGCCATGGAATTTTATAATACAAAAACTACACCAATATCCGTCATGCCATGGAAAGTCTGCTATAAAACAAATCAAATTCTATCAAAAAGTATTATATTTAGAACAGCTTTTGTTTTAAAAAATTCCATGGCATCACAGATTATTGAAAAAGATGCAGGTTTCATTTTTCCAATTTTCCGTCTTTATTATGCAAAAAATTGAAGACTAATACGGTTGATTGACGTAAAAAAAATTTTTCTACAAAAAACCTGAATACATTTTTGCTCTAAAATAATTTGGGGAGCCAATGTTATGAATTTTACATTGAAATCCCTATGATGCTTTACGCAAGTCACCGCCCTGTATACAGGGTGTCTCACTTATCTTAAGAACATGGATTATTGCGGCAACTAGCGGGGATATCAAAACACGTTTATACAAAATACTCTTCATATGGAGGGGCCGATTTAATGACGCTATGCACATTTTCACAACCCGTAATAGTCAAGTGTCGGGCAACTTTTTTTTTTCAAATAAAAACTTATACTTTCTATTGAATATTCTTATTCTACATCGGAAAATAATAATCTTTTGTGTGATCTAGGAAGTAGTTCTGTTAAGAATTTGGCACATTTAAAAAAAAAGGGAAGAGAGTCAAGTTTCATGACAACACCCCCTGTCCTTCACTACCCAAATGGCAAAATGGAATTTACCAATTATGTCTTAAAAAGAATTGATATAGCAAACAAATTCTAGTGACCTTTCATACTGGTGACCTAATTCTACAAAAGCAAACCGTTCTTTCAGTTCAGTAAACGAGAAAATCAACACAAAATGCAGGTATTTCGTGGGCAAGCCATCCACCAACAGCTCCACCTTTAACTTACCTGATGCAACCGTGACTTAGTGTGACTAATTTTGTACTTTTTGTTATTTTCCAAATTTCGAGTTCGTTTCATAAAACTACTAGACTGGAGTATATAATCCAGGTATAGACTGGACGATGCGGGCCTCCGTTTCAACAGCCTGCAAGAAAGATAAAAGTAACGAGTGTACCAGTTTTAGGCGGCGGCTTACTTGTGGAGCTGTTGTAAGGCGGTAACAGCACCGAGCGCTTGAGGTCGCTTCGTTGCATATTCCAATAGATTCGGTAGAGGCGGTGTAATGTTGCAGCATTCCGGTGGTAGGAGGATTTGTATTAGGCGTAGTAGCTCACCTAAAATTAAAGTGTTTGATCATTATAAGCAAGTTAATTGAGGATGATGGAATTATACAACCGAACAATTCAAATGTTGAACCAACCACTTGTTTCATGGATTGCAGAGCTGGGCAGTATTCGATTTTGTAAATACTTTTTAGTATTCAAATCCTTTAAAGTATTGAAATACTTTGTAATTAAATACTATTATGGAAGCAGTAGTTGTTTTTGTAACTCAAATACTTTCACAAATATTTAGTATTCGAATACTTCGCATAGTATTTGAATACTTAACCTTCCTTTTTTTACCAAAAATCGACTACTCCAAAATTTCTCGGGAAAACACTTTTTTTATTAATTTTGGTGCGTAGAATCCAAAACAATTCGTCCTTTTTCGATCAGACTGCTCAATCAAAAGTTATAGACTAGAAACCAATTTCGAAAGAAAATTCAAAGGACTGTAACTTTTGAACTAGTAGCCCAATCTTGGAACTGTTTGAAATTATGGATTCTACAGGCCCCATTCTATAAGAAAATTTTTTTCCCGGGTCGATGTGAGACAATTTTTTCTTCGGGGCTCAAAAAAAGGCAGTGTAAACTTTCCCTTTTTACCAAAAATCGACTACACCAAAATTTCTCGGGAAAACACTTTTTCTTATTAATTTTGGTGCGTAGAATCCAAAACAATTCGTACTTTTTCGATTAGACTTCTCAATAAAAAGTTATGGACAAAAACAAATTTCGAAAAAAAATTCAAAGGGCTGTAACTTCTGAACTAGTAGCCCAATCTTGGGACTGTTTGAAATTATGGATTCTACGGGACAAAATCTATAAGAAAATGTTTTTTCCCGGTCGATCTTAGACAATACCTAATAAAACCGTAGCTCGAACACTTATAAACGTGTCACTAGTGGCTATAACTTCAGCTAAGGCGCAGAGAAGGCCAGTTTCCAAGAAACAATACAATAATAACGACAAGTGAATATCCGTAATGTTAGGAGTAGTTTTCGCTAAATGAGGCAATACGGAGCGTCCTTCCGCGGCTACAAAACCTTCAGTTAATCGCCACGACGCCTGCGGTTCGGCCGGATCGACCGCACTCAGTGCCACGGACAGTTCGTCCGTCCACTCCGGCTGAGGTAGTCCTAATAGTTCGTACAATAAATCTAATACGGCCTTCTGCAAAGAACGACTTAAATCGATCGGCCGCGGCGGTTCGACACTTACCCTAACTTCTAATTGATTTAAATATAAAATATCGACAATCGCCTTTAAGCCTAACGAGTTGGTGGGGCTACAAAAATGCAGTATACCCGGCCAGCTCCGGAAAACAGATAACAGCGCCAATCGACTACAATTAAACCGTAATTCCCTTTCGTCCCTGCAATTGGCACAATCAGAACAAGGATAACTCGACGATTGCGCTTACCTATTTTTGTCCATCCAACCGTGACGATAGTGGAAGTCGCAGTAGGGAGCTGCAATACAGTGCAAATCGACAGCTGCGTGGTTTCTTGTGAAAGGCCTATCTAATAATAAAAGTAGTACTCCGCAGAGCGATTCGGCAATCCGCGGGGTTTGACATTCCAATAGATTCCTGGTGATAGCTGCCACGCCGCCACTTGCAATGAACAACTCGGCATTTAGCACGCCCAATTCGCATAAACAAGCCAGGCACGCTCTTAGCATACGATCCTTCTCCTCGATGCCACAATTGGCTAGTGCAACGAGACTCCGCGCCATCCCCATGTCGAAATCGACAGGCGACAGTAACAGAATCTTCTGCATGAGACTCAGCGCTTGTATTCTCTCCATGTCATTCCTCAACGACAAATCTAGCGACCGCGCGACTAAACATGGAAGTTTGAGCTTATTAAACTGTTGAATGTCATCTTCGGTCATCAACACGTGCCTTATTGCTTTTAAACCTGCCGATCGGACTAAACTCGAATTGTTAAACAAAGTAATACGTAAACTGTAAACAATCGTTTAATACAAGCATGCCGGTCGAACAATACCAACCAGCACAGAATTTCGACAGTTGTATACGATATCTTCGACAAATTACCCTCAATATGCAGGTATAGTTTAATAAACGCATTTATACAGTTAACACATTTTCCTTCCGTGATTCCGTCCAATTTACAAATGTCTAAAAGAAGTTCCTTGGCGGTTTCTCGTGGATCTGCAACGAATATTGAATATTTTACGCAGTAACGTTTGCAATTACCTCGCTTTAAATCCAATTGCACAATATCTTCCTCATTGACGGGTGTACCTAGAAGTAATCAGCTTAGAAGTAATTGGTGTGATGTGTATACCGACTTCGAGTATATCTAGAGGATCCGATGTTTCGATTCTTTTTTAACATCCAACTTGCAACTGCCATTATTGTACCCTGATATTAGTCATATTTAGGTAGAATTGGTTCAATGGAAATGGTTTATTTAATTTTTATTTGTATAATAGCATCATAATTATGAGGTATTTACGATTGCAATAAAACGTCAAACATTTTTCATACTTTTTAGGTTATCTTTCCCAATGTCAAATTTTTGGGGACTTTTGGTTTATTTCTCTGTACAGGATGTTGAAAAATATTGAACCACGACATGCTCGGCAAAGAAATAAATAAAACCTCCAGCATACAAGGATCTTAGTCCACTTATATAGCTATCGAGACTCTTTCTTCTTTCGAATGCTAATTTTTATTGCTAAAATGTAGAAAAGAACAGAAATAGAGCAGTGTAGCGGTCAGCTCTCCAGGTTATATTTCATAAATATTCGTTTATTGGTCGATATACATTTTAGAGCCAAGACTGTATGTCTTTCCTTTAATATCTATACATTATATGTACTCGCCTATTTCCCACACCATCCCCCTTTAATATCGAGACAGAAATCGCCGCGCAGTAGTCTCTGGCGACTCTTGCTTCTTTTATTTTGTAGTACAGATTCCGTGCCAGTAGTAAAGCTGATGGACCTGTATGAGCCAGGGTCAGTTTTGTCCTCTTTTCGGGATGAAGTGCATCAATTGAATTTTTCAACATTTGGGAAACTCGCCCACCTTACAGCATGTGGATAGATGCCATTGTATATTATACAGTATACACCATGGTACCTCTAGTATAGATGCCTTCCTGTTGCAATAAACCACGGGCGTAGTACTATAAACATCCTGTAAGTCCTGGGTGTCCTAAGACGATCATCTCATCAACCTGTTGACGCCCAGAAGCATGAGCCAGCGTACCATACTATAATTGTGTAGGATCTCCCTCCCCCAGCCCCCCAGGATGAATATCAAACTTCAAACAGAATTTTTTTGGGTGATTTTAATAAGGGATAGTTGAGGATTCTTAATTGTAGCATTTCGAAGTATAATACCTAAATTAGGCCGGCCTGGTATGAAATATTGTTCATAAGTTTCTTATAAAGTTAGCCACAATTACCACAAATACAAGATGCAGAAACGAGTGTACAACTATCTACAGATACAACAACTAGTAGAATACAAGATTAAACCCAATACGCAGTAATAAAGATAACAAACAAACATTCTAAAGAAAGTACTATAAGCAAAGGTGTCTTAAGGAGATAATATTTTGGCAGAAAATACTGAATGTGAAAATCTTCAAAGCTTTCAAATACACTCTTTGCGCCAAATATGATTTGTGGTCTTCCAAACGTTGATTGGCCCACATCAAACTTTGTAAATAAGCCAGGCAATGTTACATTAATAATCGTCGCACCTTCAGGTAAAAGAACCTTCACGATCGCATCCTTAATAAGCACATCATCGAAGATATGATCAACTGCTCTCATCTTCAATGAAAACTCGTCGACATGATTCCACAAGTAATGAACGGAGGGCACACTGTATCTGATGACGTAACTCGTTTTCCACCCATTTAGCAGCGGATAGCGGGGTTGAAACTTTAAAGTTTTGTAATTTTTGTAGTGTAGAAGCGTAGATTTGCTGCTATTTCCCAGTTCGTCAAAGTATCCCACGTCATCTGCAGTTGCAGGTAAGTGCGTATACCACCACCAGTCAAAGTTGTTCACGTTCATGTAAGGAAATGAAGAATTAAACCTTCCTAAAAGCAAATTTTTAAAACCTACTTACTACGAAAGTAACTTACCTTCGTTTTTCACACTCACTTGATCAGAAACAAAAATTTTGCCAAAATGTGAAACCGTGATAAGTCGCTTCAATGATAAAATCGTAATGAGGGGGGTATTATCTTGATAGGCAACTGTCAAGCGTGTAAGGCTAAGAGGGCTGATATTTTTTGTGATATACTCCACACTGCCCTCCAACTGGTACAGTGGAGATGGGCTAATCTGTAACGCTTTCATCCCTTCAGGTTTTAAAGTAAAGGAACTTGTTGCGATAGACGTTTTGTAACCGGAATAAAAGCCCACGTTTCCTCTGTACACCACAGACTGATGAGGACCCATCAGAGTATTTTGCACGGGAACAACTTGACCGAAACTGATCAAGTTCACTACTACTTTAAGCACGTGACCGGGTTTAAAGTTAGATTGTAAATTGACACGAAATTCGTCAGGTGCTTCAGTTGTGGTTTCGTGAGTCAGTGTGCCGTTTTCACCAGAGAATTTAACAATGAAATTGACAACATTAGGATCTAACCAATAACGAAAATGATCCACGGATTGCGTCCCATTGTTGAGCATTATGATACGAATTTCTTCTTTGACATGTAACCCTCCGAAGAATCGAACATTTCTAATAACCGATTTATTGATAATCTCACAATTCGTTGCAAAAATTGCAAGTGTCACTAATATTACGCACTTCATTTTGTGACCAATTCTCTTTTGTTTTACCAGATCACCTTGATACTTTCTTGAACCGTTCCAAGCTCACTCGAAGTGCGAGATATAATATGCGAAAATTCCTTTTGTACCACTCAAAGTTGTACGACACGTGGGATTTCCAGTTATCGTCGAGGAACTTCTTGTAAAACTGGCTCATTTCGTCAGAGGAAAGTGGCTGCGCGCTTTCGGACGATTTCACGAACTCCTCCTTTTGCTGCAAAACGTAAATTGAGGATTTTTCCCCCGTAAAACGACATACCTGCAAAAATTTAACGTTGTGTTTACTCCAAAAGTCTTCGTTCCACGCCTGAGTTTCATCTTGAAACGTTCGCAGTTTTTGCTGCAGAACGGTCTCCTTGGGCAATTGCTGACGTATGATCGGACGTAAATTCGATTGTGAATTAGGTGGTCCTATAATGTCGACCTTGTTGCTTTCCGGTATTACTATAATCGGGCTTCGGATGCACTTGTCCAAGAATTTAGCGTAGGGATTTCGGGAATTTTTTCTAACCTAAAAATCGGAGAAAATTACTACTATGTAGGAGAAAGTATACGTACAGAGTTAATTAAATTTGATGTAGACGCCGTTTTTACATGTGAATTAATCGATTTTATATAATTCATCGCTTTAGATGGCGGACGAGGCCCTTGGATTTACTTAGTAGATTGAATAGCTCAAGGTAGTTCATTCACAAACATTAGGCTTTATTGCAGCTACAGTACAATTGATCTACTTTTCAAAAAATTAAGCGGAAAAATATTTTTTGCCAAAACAGTTTTAAATAATTTTACTCGTTGTTTAATCATTTGTAGTTGTTTGTTTAGTGCTTGTGTCCTGTAATTTGCGCAACAGTTGGCCCCTATATCATGGTTAGCTGCACAGTGACCGCATCACTAGACAGTTAACGAGTTGTGGCCAAAACCGTTTTTAATAATAATTATAATAGGTATAATGTTAATGTATAATCAAAATGAATCAATTACAAGCAAGACAATGCACTTCTCACTTCGGCTAAACAGGCATCTACTATAACAGGATTATTTACACTTTTTAACGACTTCTTCAGACACTTCAAAACTAGTTTATGCAGCATACTACACTGCATTTTGTCTAGCTTCTTGAAATTATCCGAATATTTTTCGGGATTACTTTTAAAGTCCTTTTCAAACAGTTTCAAATCGTCCACTGTTTGTAGATTCAGTTTCGTATCCTTCTTTTTCTTTTTCCGACGCTTTTTGACATTGGAATTTTGCAAAACTGGTATTCCCAAATCTTCGGTGGTCCTTTCTGGTTTATCCTCCACAGAATGGACGGGTGTAACTTTCTCAATGTTAGCACGATCGATGAAGAGCTCCTCGTCGCTATCTCCCATGTCACAATTAAGCAAGGACAGGAACGGTTTGTCAGTTGGCACATTTTCAGGAAGGTCGTCTAAACATTCTGTTTCGAGCCATAAATGTGGATCTTTGGGTAAAATGTAACTTTTGGGTAACCAATTGACAGTCGAATTTTGTAAGACAGGCACAAACGGAAGTAAAAGTGAGTACAACCGGCAAGCGTACTTCACAATATTGCGTGACAAAGTATAAATTCGCGAGACAATACCATAAGCGAGAAAATAAATCTTCCACATGTGTCCCAAGGTGATCAGTTGTTCCAATGTCGAGGCGGCAACTTGAGTAGTTTCAACAAGACGTACCATTAGCTTCCCAAAGCCTTGTAGCCTCACTAACAAGTACAGTAGCATATTACGAGCAGGCATATACATAACGTCCGAATAAGTCTCGGGAAGGGCGTGTGAAAAAGTTTCTAAATGATGAAGAACGTTCATTCGTAAATACCGCAATAACGCTTGATTTACTTTGGCAATAGTTTTGAGACCCTTACAGTGTCTGAGTTTTGTTTTCATGCAATACGTAAATCTCGATAAAAAGGCAGCTTCTTGCTCGAAAGTCGAGTGATTCTTAAACGCCAGGCATGCTTCAGAAATGATGTTCCTTAAAGTTGTACCATCTGCAATTCTAGTTTAATCGAAGGTTTTGTTATACAATAGCCCAAACCTTTCTCTTGAATATTTTGTTTAATTGTCATTACAGGAGGTGGTTCTAAATTTTTCACATTCCACAATTCAGAACTCTCCATGGTGCATGAAATGAGGTTATGTTTATTCAGCAAATACACAAACAAATCAAAATTCATACGCGGTCATTTTTCATACACTCGAAAAATTGTTATACAGGGTGTTTTCAAATGAAACTAAAGACCAAAAATAAAAATGGGCATTATCAGAGTTACGAATGAGTTAAGAAGCAAACATACATTCTGAAATATTTACGATACATAAACCGACGCTAGGGGTTACAGTCCCTCATAAATTTTGTAATTGGACACGAAGCCAAATGTATAATTTTGTATTATTTGCACAATCGTTTTTATTTTTTAAAAATCGATTGATAAGTTAGAGAGAAATCGAAATCTCGAGTACTTGCTAGCTAAGATTATTTATAGTAGGGACCTCCGTCGATTGGTTTGCAATGTACGTTTCAAACCAGTTTAGCAAATTCTATTAGTTATATCTCAGACACCAATAAAAAACCTAGGGATGAAATGAATGTGTAGACTCAATCAAATAAAGTCGTCCAGATATTTCAATAGAACTTCTGTTCAGTAAAACGATAAGGAGCATAAGCACGGTAGGAATGGGTAACTGGGTCCCTTTCCACCTGTCATTTGTCCCCATTAAATTAGAATGTTGGAAATAAAACTTCAAATTAGAAAAAAATCTTATTAATTATAAATGTACACAACAGATAAGACATGGATGACAGCTTTTGAAATCAAAACTGTATAATATAAAAGAGCTTTAGCACACATCACTGTATAAAAATCACAATGTTTTATTCTGAATTACTAATACAACCACCTTAAAACTAGAAATTTGTACACGCAACGCACATTAATTTTGTAAAACTACAAAAATTACAACTAGGTCATATTTCTACATTAGGTATTACAACGAAAGAGTTAGTTCGTTAAGTCCTAGATCGATTTTAAAGCTTACATACAAGTATAAACACGGAACGTTTAAAATCAAACTAGAAGTACACATACTAGCCATTCTTGATCATTTACAATGTTACCGCTAATTTATTTACGACTACTTATCAGACCCGATCGTCATTACGTTAACTATAGGACATTTATCCCTGAATAAGTAGTAAACCTGTCTGATTTACATTAAATGTTTTGTACAGAAAAATGGCCGCCCATTCCACATATGGACATAATTTTGCGACGTCAAATTCAAAGATTAGCAAAATTGAAACGAAAGAAAATGGTCCCCTTTTTTTTGTAGCAACTGTTTTAGTAATTTGAGCAAAGGCACATCTTATTTCTAACTGTAAAAATTGCAATTCGTTTGCACGATTAATCGACAATTTTGCAAAGGAATTGCCAAATACTGCTAAAGAATTTCTATTATCGGAGAGGTGTAATTTGAATATTTTTGGCAGATGACCTCTCCGACAATGGAAATCTCACAATCTACTCTACATGCTGCCAAATGATTTGAATGGGAAATGAAACAAAAACTAATTATTTGTTAAGTAATGTAAAAGAAAGCTATATACATTATCACCACTTTTAACACAGCTTTTCATTTCTTATACCTCAAAGTTTAACATTTAGTTCAATCATATCGACAACATAAATCTAGTCAGACTTTAATTCGTAACAATAAAAATAAAATAGGAAAATACTTAAAGTTGTCGGTATAGTTGAATCAAAAACATAATCAAAATTCGGCAACGGCAAATAACAGAACGTTTACATCATCGAAAAGTGTAACAGTTCCGGCGGCCGCCGTAGCCGCTTACGTAAATTGATTCCGATACAAAAATATACTATTAAAATTATAAAATAATTCTAATAACAGCTATTAAACTTTTACAGAGACCTTTAAACTTTGGCTAACCGAACTCGCTAAACTTCATTATTTAGTCTTGTAGATAATAGATTTTTCGTTTCTTCCCGTTCACAGCACAACGGCCGTACTCCAACAGTTCTTTTTGCGCTAACGCCACTTCCACCCGCAACACTTCCTTGTCGTTTTCGATATCCATTTCATCGTAAACTAATTCTGTGTCCTGTAAAGTAACGGATTAGTACACTATCGCACTATGAGATAGTCTGCGGGCAGCTACTTCACGCAATATTCTTATAAATAAGAAACTCAGCCTTGCGTTCACCTGATGTTTAAAATATGCGATATGTTTGCCTTTACTAGAAACATCTGTGATGAAAATTTCAAGAAATATCTCCACAAATAAGAAAGTTGACATTCTACAGTTTGCTGAATGTTGAATGCAAAAAAAATGCATTAATAAATAATATCTTGAAAACATGAGTTGGAAAATGCGTAAAAAAAATTAAAAAAAAACGCGGTTATCAACTAACCATTACTTTTTAAAATGGTGGTAACCCCCAGTTTATCTGGCCCTGAATCCTATTCCCCTCTTTAAGAAGCGAAATCCTTTAATCATTTCACACTTTCTTATGGAAACTAGTGACACAAACTGACCATTAAAATATAAATCTTATCTCAAATTATCAATTCTGATTAGAACAGTGACTTCCTGCCGATATTGTGACGTTAAACCAAAAAATGTTTAAGTGCAAATATAAACAATACTTGTTTACTATACAAAACGTACAATAATTTAGCTTGTTCCCTTTCTTTTTCTATTTTTTCTCTTTTCAATCGTTCATCTTTTTTTTTGTTCTTTGTTGTTCTTTCTGTCTGTACCTAACTGGATGCTTTCATAAAGTTATTAAGGTTAAAGTAGAATATCAGATTAGGTTTTACCTAAAAAATCTGAACTTTCACCTAATTGATATATGCAGTACTTATTGCAAATGTAGAACTGCTAATCAATAAAGACATTTATTATTATTATTATTATTATTAAATACAAGCTTCCATAAAAAAGCGTGGACCATTCTGTACCTCTATATCGATGTCATCATCTTCCGATTTGATAGCGCTAATATCAAAAAACTGTGGTTCACTGTTGTAATTATGCTCGACAACCTCCACATCCGCCTCGGCGTCGGACCCCTCTTCGCTCTCCGCGCTGCCGCACGAATCGCCGAAATTATCAGCGTCTTCGTATGTGAACTTCAACTCTCCCCGTTCCAGAGACTCCAGATTTTCTACAAAAAAATGCATTGTAATCCTGAAGAAACCAGGAATTAATGAGGGGACAAAATTGGGAGAATAAAAGACTCGGGATCTCCGGGATACTGGACTGAGTAGTGTCACAAACCTGGGTTAAGTAAGGTCAGCTAGGCATTTTGGAGCCTTTGGAATTCTTAGCGTCTCCAGGGTTCTAAAATCTCTAAGGTTCTGCTTCTGGGGCATTTAAACAAAGTAATCTGGTTCCTTGAGATCCATGGAATCGTGTTGGGTAAAAACAAATAAAATGGCACTTTTTAGGAAACTCCTGTTATTTATTAACGAGCTCATTCATAATTTTTGACTTTGTCCGTCCGTCTGTGTACATGGTGTCCTACTAATAAAGGTCACAGCCCATATCTATGGAACTGTTAAATGGAGAGCTTAGGGAAAAAAATGTGTTAACAAAAGAGGCCAAGAAAACTCGCAGGAAATTATTTTCAAGTTTGTAGGTTTGGCGCTAGAGGGCGTAAGATTCATGGTTATGTTAAAGTCACTAAATATAGAAAGAACCGCAATCATCCGCCATTTTTGGGCAAATTTGCTGCCAACTTAAAAAAATTGACAAATAAAATCTGAATAGCTGTCATTTTTTATAACCTAACTTCATAGTACTGTCATGTTTTATAAAAATATATACAGATATCTCAAAACAGGTGGAACAATCCCTAACATTAAAGTTACTAGAATCTGGTAACTTCGGCCATTTTTGGGCAAAAATCATGCGTTCTCTCTCTAAC